TCAAGTCTACGCCATCTCTTGCTCTTGCACATAGAGGATAAAAATTTGATACAACTTTATTCAAGAGCGCGACCGTACCAGTGCACCTTGCGTATAGGCCACACCCCTAAGCCACACCCATCAGCCATACTCACAAGATCATGAGTCACGTCTACCCACCTTACCCATATCAGCTGCTTTCACAAACCACACCAAAGAAGCAATGTCATTGAGATCAACATGCACCCATGGACAAGTTCATACAGTGACAACAGTAAACTGTGACGTCACCTAAATGATAGACTAGTCTGGTTAATAGTCTGGAACCTGGCTTGGGGGCACAGGCCGCATCACATAGTTTTCTTTGGCCTTCTTTTGAAATCAAACAGTACGGAAAGAACCGCTAAAGTGAAAACTATTGTCCAAGATGGCAGAGACTATACAAATGCAGAAAATGATGTAAGTAGTGGCAACATGCATGAGCAATGATGGAATTTAGCCAAATTGTTTGAATAGGATCATTGTGAGCTTTAAAATAAGAAGTAAATGACAAGAGCCCAAACAATATGTAATGTGCCAGAACTTGCCCATGGCTACATCACTCACAATTGCTGTCTGGGCCTCTTCTACAAGCAATAACTCATGAGTGACATGCAAGCTCATCCCATACCTTGCAGGTGTCACACCTGCTGCCCTCCACGTTGGCCTTGCATATGCACTGCCCGCTCACTTTGTCACAGAAGTTGGTGGAGCCCAGGGAACCGACAGAGTTACAGTCACAAGCTGTCAGTGGAACAGGAAAATGAAATGCATTTACAGATCAAAGCATATACTGGTACTCGAACAAATCAGGAAAAAACTGACTGCATATTATACCAGACACAACAGTGAAAAAAGAACCAACATTGACTTTGATGTGATGGAGACAAGATTAAAATAGCGTGTTCAACTCCAGTATGATTTTGACATTGAAGGCCTTGATCATTACGTAAAAGTAATGTTAAAATAGACAAGTCTTCAGGAAGACTTGATTTTAAATTCCACAATTATTATCTTGCATTACCTGACTATTTGTGGTAATGCTCTGACCAAAAGCAGATGGAGTGGGACAAACTGTCAGAAGGACAGGGTTAAATGTCAGGGTTAAATGTTCAGGGTTAAATGTCCCAAAGGCAAAAGGCTTGTTGGTGCTTTTATTTTGGTTTTGTGTTTATAAAATTTAAACTGTGAGAGTGCATTCTTGCATGATCTCTGTATGCACTGTTTGATAACAAGCCAATTATGGCAGAATGGGAACTGTATTCATGAATTGGCACCTACGTGTGTCTCTACATTATTATGACTGGCCGCAGATAACTTTCATAATGGACGCACAGGTCACCATGCAAACACAGCCTTTCACCCACCTCCCTAAATAAGCACACATCTCAATTCTAATTTCCCCTAAAGCTGGGAGTACATTTCAACAGGCAAATGTAACATGTAGTGGCATCTAAATACATGGGATTTTCAGTTAATGTGAAACAGCATACAGAGACTGCACCCAGGAATGGGTAGTGTTACACTTCTTTGAACGAAAAAAATTAGGCGGCGAAACTCACGTTGGCAGCCGTCTGGATTCAGGGCGCTGAGATTGAAGAAGGTGTCTTTGCACTCATCGCATAGCACGTTCTGCACGTTCAGCTTACACGTGCAGCTGCCGTTTGTTTCGTTGCAGATGGTATTGGACTGGGTGCCATTCACATCACACATGCATGCTGCAATGAGGAGTACAAACAGTGCATAATAACAACGTCCAAAAAGGAGTCACCTATGGTGATTTTTTGTCAATAATTCATTGATCGTCACTCAGTTTGGGTTTAATTGTTCAGAAAAAAGTATTCTAGGAAAAAGTAAGAAAACTGCCACAAGAAATTTGCTGTAAATTTAGTCGTCCCTATTGCACTACTTTTTAAAATGGCGGGAATTTTTATTCTATTACTGTTCTCTTCCTGTAATTTCGTAACAGAGTTCACAGCAAACCTTACACCAATCTGTATTTACACATCTGTATTATACCTACGTGTAGCTTAAATGGGATACAAAGCAAGTTCATTTTGTTGTGTTTGTTGTATTTGCAAAGAAACTGCACTGACAATTAATGGTGTACATAATCTTTGAAAAAGAGTAGAGTCAATAAATTACAACTTAATCTCTGACAGGACCACTATGCATGTAAATCATGATGGTGGAACTGTTGGTGCTGAAGCAAAGCCACTTCAAAAGGAAGATGCCAAAAGTTTAGTTCAGATTTGTGAAAGTTCATTATCACATTTTATGCAGAAAAATATGTGCGAGGAGCAATGGGGTAACTGAGGTGAAATTTCAAGGGGCAGAGGAGAAAACATTCTTTCGGGGATACCAAAAGTTGGTGAACAGATTATGTCCATTTAACAAAGATTTCTAAGAGGGTGCACGAAACTCCACTTGGGGCACACCCCCTCCCATAATTACACCAATGGTAAAAAGAACCACACAGAAACCATACTGAGACAGAAAGATAAGATGACCCTTCAAACCAATGAAATGACAGGTTGGAAAGTGTCACTGGAAGGGTGTACAAAGAATCAGAAATGGTAGAAATGGACAGAATTGAGTTGATGTGTTAATTACTCACGCCAGCAATACTGACTACATGGGTATGGTGCTGTTAGATCTGTCAGGAGCAAAATGTGGTTGTTAATGGTTAAAGTATAATAACAGTGAATATGAGAGCAGCACTCTCTACTCCTATCTGGCCACATGTATCACTGTACACTCACTCTGGCAGCTATGAACAAGTTCTGTCAACGACTGCTAGTGAATGAGTCTACAGGTGATTGAGGTGTCCTTTGTTCCTGTGTGCTTCAGTTGAACTACATGTACATGTAATATCAACTATCACAGCAACATATAGTCTCGACTCCCTGCTACAAATTTTAATGCATGTGTCTACTGATCAGCAGACTGGTGCAAAGTGGTTGACTGGAGTACTCCACACACTGTTGACAAGTTTAGTCTGAGTTTAGTCTAGTAACCACAGTTTTCAAACTTGATTAGGTTTATTTGTTAAGTTACGTGGGAATTGACTTCTGCCAGCCAGGAGAGGCTGGGATTCTAGGAGGTAACAAAAATGACACTTACTGCATTTTTGAAATAAGCTCATCATTTAAGCAAAATTTACAACACTGGGTCAAACAAGGATTGTTATAAGGTGACTTTCATCTGGACTAACAGAAGCAAACCAAGCATTATGTAGTGCCTCTTTTCTTGGCTTACCGATGCATGTGTCGTTGTTTGTGGGGTCTGTGTAGGGGTTTCTAAAGTAGTTGTCATCGCAGCGTTGGCAGTTGTCTCCACCGGTGTTCTCTGCGCAGTTCTGGCAGACACCATAGCCCTTGACTGCATCGTAGACGCAGCTGCTGGCAAAGCCGTTGCAGTCGCACTCTGCAGCGGAGAGCTTTCAGTTAAAAGCTACGAACTTGGGAGATTTTCAAGTTTCTCCAGTGATTGCCATGACGAATCTATGACTTTCGAGGGAATTTTGAAGAAAAGCTGACTGCTGACCAAAGTAAAAACACAGCATGCTTCTTCCACACATGCAACTGGTAAGTTAGACAAAAACCAAAATTCAAAGTGCCACACGATTTGCCGCTATGGATTTTTCAGTTTGTAAAGGCTGCCATAGGAAGTTTAAACCAAAGAAATCAGTTGATCCAAGGAACACTTGCATGTGTGTCCACTTATTTAGTCTAGTACATGTACAGTACATGTACATGTAACTAATGACCAGAACAGTCTTTCAACACGTTTAAGAGCAATTAAAGCATCTATTCAGTTATGTGTACTGCTAGCCTCTTCTCTCTATGGCCATTTGTGACTGGCTCAAGAAAAATGGGTAATAAGTCGTCAGATTGAGGTTACGACTTTTTGATATGGCTGGATTGTGTACATCAAAAGCTACAATTTGATATATGGATGACCCCTGTAGTGCACTGCGTTCTGGAGATATATGGACATTAGTATATCCAAATTTTTGGATTCAATAAAAGCACTTTCGAGAAAAAGCTCAGAAAGTGTAGCACTTAGAAACACAATACTATGCAGGATTTCCTACTGAATGATCTTTCTTATCAGTCTGATCAAACCGATCGACCAATAATGTTTAAGGCATAACAGGGGTAACTACATGGCAGATGTTAACATAATGTTCAGCAAGCCCACCTTCGCAAGCATTTGCAGAGTTTGGTCCAGGCACGGCGGCCCGCCAGGGTTTGTTGTTGAACAGCGGTAGGCAGCGGTCACAGTGGCGGCCGGCTGTGTTGTGCTGGCAGACACACTCTGAAGCATCCTGGGAGAAAGGAAACACCCTAACAAGTTGGGGGCATACTCTTGACAGGCTTATGGGGCAGCGTGGAGATCGTGGAGTTTCACAAAATAGCGGATAGCAACCACACCATGCTGATGAAAACAACTGCAAGGAGCGTGCATGTACATACTGATCAGAGAAAAGATTGTGTAACCCGATCCCCTGACTGGCCGGTGTGTGCGTGCATCGCCATGGTCGCTGTTTTCACCGGCGCGGTACCTGCCATTTTGCAAGAATCCCGGATGTCCGCGCTACCCCATACTAAGTGACTGTATTACAGGCTTCGGCCAGTTGGAAGCCCTGTTAACATTCCTTGACAATCTTCATCACAGCCAAAACACAGACACATGTGCTGGCTACTGCCTGTAGCTATTCATTTGAAGACTCATGCAGCTGAAAATCACTCACCACCTTATGGCCAGTGCCAGTAGTATACACAAACCTCACCTCACCTCACCTCTCCGTAGCACTGCCTACGGCCATAACCACAAGTACTGGCCAATATCAGGTCATTTAGAGGCCAGCTAGAGGCTGGCTCATGGCCAGTGCACACAAATCCCTACCTCTCCTTGACACTGCTATGCCTACATGTACATGTCGCCAAACCACAGGCACTGGAGGCCATCAGACAACTCAGCAGCCAGCTCACAGCTAGCTCACGGCCAGTACACACAAACCAGCTGGCGGCCAGCTCGTGGCCAGGTCACAGAAAACCCTTTACCTCTCTAACACTGTTCAGCATGGCAAAAGTACAGGCACTGGCTTTTGTCTGATCACTTAGAGGCTGCTTACAGGCTAGCTTAAGGCCAGTGCACACAAATCCTTACCTCTCCCTGACATTGCTCAGCATGGCCAAAGCACAGGCACTGGCCATTGACCTCCCAGTCGGCCACAGCAAAGTAGTTCCGCAACACTGTCTGACTGCCTGGTAGCCCCAGGGTGATGCGGATATTGGTGATGGTGAAGTAGCGCATGACCGCCTCCTGGGAGAACTCCATTCCGAGTTTCTGAGCCGGATTGTATTGCACCTGTGTTCAGAAAACATTCAAATTTCCATACAATTCATGTACTTCAAAATGCTATTTTTGCACAAAAGAAATCTCAATACATCCAAACTGTGCATCTTAAACAAACTACTGCAAGTTATTGTTGACAAATATATACTAAAATGAAAATTTTGTGAAAACACTGCCAGGGGTATAATACAGATTTCTATAAATGTTGAACACATGGATAGCAAATTTCATAGACTATCTGGCACTACCATGATAATTAATTACTGGCAATATGGAATCATGCGTAAGGTTCAAATTCACATGTACATGTTTGTACATGCAGGTATATGAACATCGCACGGGAACAACAAATTTCTGTAAGTTCTGCTTTTTCAGATAATATTCAACATTTACTAGCATATACTGTACTTCAACAAGATCAATTTCCACGATATTTAACACCTTCATGTAATGACTTAGATGTACAGACAATCTTCCAATCACTTCAAAATTTCCTGTGTCAAACTACATGTATCATCAAAAGTAAGTAATCGCTGTATGTGTACAATTTAACTGTGTATCGGTGTTATAGTCGGGACCATCACAAGACCAGACACAATTAACAGGGTGAACAATGACAAAGGAATGCTTCTGTTGCAGTTAATTTGAATAGTTTGTGACTTGAATTCAGACTGGAGATCTTGTGCCGGTCTTGCGCTGGTCTTGTAAGGTCTTGTGAAGGTGGTCTCGACTACAACACAGCTGTGTATGCAGTTGTTAATGTACGTGTAAAATGATATCAGGCAAAATGCTTCCAGGGTGAAAAAAAGTAACCACTCATCAAAGGGGACGAATTAACAAGTTGGGTAATACTGCACTACCTATTCAATACATTTGCCTTTTCCATCCTTTACCTATGATTTATTTTACCACCTGGCAATATTCTACAGTTTGCTGCAGTGGAGAAGGGTAATGAGACGGAAATGGCTTGATTATCCTTCATTGTCAAAGTTGAAAGGCTTCCTTGGTGCCAGACGAAGAGAAATACGGGCCATACACTTGTACATGTACACATGAAACCTACACTGTATACTTTTGACAGTCTGTCTACGACCTTGGAATACATGTGAGGTGCAAAGACGAAAACAGTGTACCAACTATTCACTGTTTATCTTTTTCCTCAGTTACATGTATTTTGATTGAAATCTATGATTAAAACAATGGCTCTGAGTTGATGGATCATGCTAGAATTGGATAAAGCATACATTCTGGGCCCATGGGTGTCATGAGAGGTGGACAAGGGGGACTTGTCCTGCCCCTTCTCCAAAAAAATGGTTTTTAATTTTTTTTATGTAAACAGGAAATGAAATGAATAGAAAAAAGAAATGAAAGGAGAAAAATGAGGGATAAAAGATGAAAATAACCAAGTTGCTAAACACAATCCTTGAAATTGACCCTTTTTCCACTGTTATTGGTTTATCAGTTCGTTGTTGATGAGTGCTTTGCAGTGTTGTATTCGAGTCCATCTCAAATTGTTCAGTCTGAAGCCAATTTACAATTAAGCTGTTCAAATGAGCTGCAACAAAAGCATTCTCTTGTCATTATTCACCCTGTTACTTATGACTGACCTTGTGATGGGACTTGTGACTGGACTTGTGACTGGACTTGTGAAGGGTCTTGTGACTGGACTTGTGAAGGGACTAATGAAAGGACTTGTGAAGGACTTGAATACACTGAACACTGGTGCTTTACCAGATTTCCCCCCCCCCCAAAAGGACTTTGCCTCACCCAGAAAAATCTGTAGTGACACCAATGTCTGCACTCATTTCTGCACATTTGTATTGAAAATATCAACAAATTTGTATTTCAACTACAATGTACGGTATGGTCTACTTCAATTCATGGCTTTGAAATGTGGTTGAAGAAAAAAATTACAAAAACTATAAGTAAAACATTGAAAATGCACACAACTTTGGGTGTGGATGAAATGCCACCCTGAACAAGGCAATGCCTGTAAGCGATCGATACCGAATCTATATCAGCCCAAGGGGGTTGATACAATGATGACGTGCAGCAAACGCCAGCGCAGAATCCTGCAATACAGGGAGTGACCATTTTAATTCACTGAAATCAGGCAGACAACAGGTGAGTCTGATACATGGACCTACGCGCAGTTTGCCTAGAATCTAGTGGGTGTGGTGCCGCACGTGGACTTGTCACGGGTTCAGAAGTTGGCATGCAGAGACCTGCACTGCATGTGCGTGCAATTATCAATGAAGTTGGCTAGAAGGCTAAAAGCCAAATGGAAGTGGCTTGCGGCAAACACAAACGTCAATTAAAATCTTGTCGCTGGCACTGGCGACAGGTGCTACTGCTAGTGATGCGTAGTTGTTAACTATGCGTAATGCTTTGAATTAAATGACAATGGGTGAGGCTTGTATGTATGGTACATGTATAATCATTGTCACTATGGTTTGTACGTGTGCGTGTGCGTGTACGTCATCAATTTGTGTTTGAAATAGAAAACCTGATATAGCATTGTGATGATGTCATAAGGAGGGATTCAGTAGTTTTAATGAGACAACTGCCACAGGATTTGTTCACAGCTGTGACTTTAATAATAATTTGAATGTCGAGAGTATTGTGAATTCCTTTTTTTTTTTTTTTGATAATTCTGAATGATGAAATGATCATGCCTATTCAGTCATTTATTTTGAAGTGCAGAAAGTCCTCACAGTCCGATGAAGAATTCTATCAACAATTTGACATGCTTGATGGCAACAAATTGTACCAGTCATGGGTGACCAGTCCAAAATGACACAAACAACAATGGACCAGCCACAATGGATGGACCAGTGTGTTTGCATAAATCTCCCTTTGAACAGGGTTGCAATCAGTTTGAAATGTACAGAGTGTGATGTAAAGTAGTTCTGGATAAAAACCCATTTAAATACACACCGGTTCGAATGAATATATTTTGTTTAAAAATTTGTATAAATTACTCTCAATTGATGTTTTACTTTTTTCATATTTATATAATATTGGCTCCAAAAGTGCCAAAGACTAATTGTGAATAATCATGCTGTGATTCCATAGACATAAGATGTATTAAATCTAATTACTTGTTCCAGATACACATCAGACCTCTATCTAGAAATCTTTGATAGTGGCCATAGTCAGAATACCATAACAAATAACAAAGGTATTGTCCCTTGCACATGTACATGTCAGTTGTTGCTTCATGAAATAAATGCGAGAAAGGGACGGAAAAGTGAAGGACCTACTGTACCTGTTGAATATCACTGTTGGGAATTTCTGTTGAAGAATCCCCAACGACATATTTCTCCTCACAGATGGGTAGGTACTTCACCGCGCCTTCCACGACGGGAACACTTGGAAATGTCTGGCTGCAGCTTATGGCATAGTACTGAAGGGCCAGCCAGGCCTGGCCAAAATTGTTGCTCTTCTCGATGAAGAGTGACTTCGGCCGCAGGCTGCGGAATACCAGCGTGGTCCCCTGGAAGAGGAACCTGTCACCTAGCATCAGTGTCAGCTGCACATCCCTGTCTCCACTCGCTGACTGCCACCACGTGGAGAGGTCAGGCCGCAAGAGGAAGAAGGACGTGACTGCATCGTACAGTGCGGCTGCTGGGTGGGCATTTTCGGGATCAGTTGCGTTGCAAGTCTGACGCTGGTACCCATCCCCCTCGGAGCCAACAAACCGCAACTCGTAGTCACTGGCCGGGGTGCCGCAGGTGGAGGTGACGGTGACCGTTCTGTTGGGCAGGTCCTGGATGAGGTCGATGAAAGGGGGATAGCAAGCACTGTTCTGACAGCTGGGTGTGTCTTGGCCAGATACTGTGCAGTAGTTGTGGGTCAGACAAACAAGTAGCACCATCCAAGTCCACAGTCTCATTTCGGAGCCCATATTGGAGGTCCTGTCCACCATCTGGCACCTGTCACTAATTCCAGAAGTCTATGCTCAATCAAGCACCAACACTCAGTCCTTGTTCAGCACACTCGTGACACTATTAAAGCTGAAAGAGATCAGCTTTCGGAGGGCAGCGATGACTCATCAGCGAGTTCCATTACGCCCTGGACTAATACAAGAATTTGAAAGGTGCCAATTATGAATTAGCTCTGCTCCGGTATGAATGATTTGGCACCACTGCAAGCATTTATTAAAAAAAACTGTGACACATGACTTGATAATGGCACAGAGTAAATTGCATGTAGGGTAACTGCCTCTGACAGGATTTTACACAACACATGAAATAACACCAAGACTTTCTCCACGTAAGTGTTCAAAGTGCAAGCATGCCGGATATTCTGCTGGATGTCTGATAGTCCCTCTTCTATGCCATCTATGGTTCGGTTTTAATTGTGTCAGGAACCAACACTGGCTGATTAGGAAAGACCAAGCAACAGGGGTCAAAGCCCTTAATTTAAAGTGTAGAATTCTTTTTGTTTTGTTGTGTCCTGGGGTTTTTTGTTTTGTAGTGTTCACTTATTTTGTTCAATTTTTGTTCTTGAAATATAATGAAAGGTGATTTGGGAGGACTTTTTTTTTTACTTCCTTCCTTCCCAAAGCATGCTAAAGGCCCTTAAAGTTATCATCATCACCCACATTTTTTGCCCCTCACGCCCAAAAATCAGTTCTGGAACTGCATGCCCTTTGCAACCAACTTACAAATATAAACTTTAAAGAGGCATCAATTCCGATGCTACATGTAATTAGGTACACCAGGGCCTAATTTCATGGCGCTGCTTACCGCAAAGCGAAAAGTTGGCGCTTACGGCAAACATAATTCATGTGTTAGCGAGGAATTATGGCTTATGCACGCATGCGTAACTAAGGATTTTGTGCTTAAAAGGTTAACGCAGAATTTTTCTACTACTGTGGTTAGTGCAGAATGGAGATCTCAAGTGTAAAATTCTGCAGTAAGCGGTGCCATGAAATTGGGCCCAGTTGGGCTCTACATGTACATGTACCTTCCTCCATGCTGCCTAAACAATCCATGGCCTTGCAGATTTAGAACTACAGTATCACTCCAGGAAGGCAAATATGAATCCACCTTACATTACAAAACATAACTCTATGGGACTACAGGCGATTTCAACACCCCAAATTTTCAACCTTAATACATGTACACACCAAATGTTTACATGTGTTGATGTCTACAACCTTCCCATCATACTCTTAGCCCAGAGACAGGAATGTTTACAGCCAGTGAATGTAGGGAATGTGGACTGAGAGCTAACCTGATTTTCATGCAGATATTCAAATATTTCTGTCAATATAAAAATCACACATTAAAATCATTGCATTTATGTAACCAAAATTTAAAATCAAAAGCACTTCATAAGAATGAGTAATTCTTTTCAGTCAATATAATTTGCAACACAAAACCAAGTTGGACCATGGTACATGTACATTTCCACTGCAAACTCATATTCCTAATAGAAAGGATTTTTTTTAAATGATACTGCAAAATACGTTGGCATATTTCACTGGAGCATATGTGAATCCTTCTACATGTACATGTACATACTGGGTGTGTGTTAAAAAGGCATAACAATAAAGAATGATCAATGAAGCAAGCTGTTACACAATGGCCATCACATGCGCACATACACAAAAAGGAGGTCATCTACACGTAACCCTGTATAAACTGTGATCCACCCATACCAAAGCCACTCTGCATGAAGTCAATAATATTAATGTTTGACATTTCCCCCTCCTTCCGCTTAATTCCATACATTTACAAAGTGATCCATGGTGCAAATTTGATCTGCAGAAATCTTTGGCAGCTACATACATCTTAAGAACTACTTGTAACACATGTTTGATCTTACTCCAAGATTTTAAATAATTCCTTTCTTTTCTTGACAATCGCCTTACACAACTGAATCAAACACAAATGTATTGCTTTTTGAACCTGTATTCATTTTTGAAACCAAAAAATAACATAATGCCCCAAATCCCTCCAGAAAATTCCAAACTCATCAATCAAACTTCGTGCAGATGGGGAGAAGACAGACCTGTTTATTTCAAATGTGGGCATGTGGCCGTATATCCGCCCTTGGCATTAGGCCAGGCCAGGCAGTGCAATCCACTACAGTTACCCTTGTCAGTTGGTTGCCGTGGCAACAGCTTGCAACACAATGTCTACAGCCATGGTGACAGCGTCCCACGCAACCACCCAGGGGGTAATCAACCGACTATCAGCAAATGTGGCATGACTGCCAGTTCGGACAAACATATCAAATGATGGTGGTTTTAGAGCTGTTCTGCTTCATTTACTATGAACTGTATTCAAGGTGCATTCCATGATGACAACCACTAAAGCCCCTGTATTCTAGTTGCTCTCATCAGCACAAAGGGTTATTGTTGTTAACCCCAAATACAGAGAAATTTCCTTCATAACGAATACATTTGTTCGCATATTGAAAGCAATGCATCTGTTAGTTGCACATGGCTTCCTTTTGTTTTTGTTCAAACTCCGAAGAATTCAAATGAGTACATTTTTCTTTTGCCTTGTGAATGATTGGGCTGACGGGTATATTATAAGGCCTGTGATCAAATGAAAATTTGTTTTCCGGTACAAACAAGAATTAAAGAGCACCTCAAGCTAAACATAACAAGCTGAAATGGGCTTTATTTTCTGTTCATTTTGAGGCAAATTCTGAATGTAGAAAACGAGGGGAACCCTTGCCCTGTGTTTGCAGAGGATAAACCTTGTGCCTGCCGAACAATGGCTGCATGTGTTGTTTGATATGCACAAGGGTTTATCCACTACTAACACAAGGAGAAGGGAATTCCCCTCGTTTTCTCTGTTTTCTACTCAATGATGCAATCAACATTCAGAATTCGCATCTTGGCATGAACACAAAAAATGCCCTTTCTATGAAGACAAATGACAACATTTGATTTGGATGCTTCCATATTTATTTGAACAGATAAAATCAGAAAAAAAGATGTTTTACTAAGAGGTGCTCTTTTAAGCCACATTGCAAGGATTATGTTATTTGGGGGAAACTATTTTGTTACTAGTTTCAGTACATTCTGCTGTAATATGCTATTGTTAAAGAAGAAATCAAGACTTCAGAATACTTTCATATATTTTACATATACATCAACTGTTTTTCTGATTCATAGTTTTACTGTCAGAAAGGAACTTTGCACACGCAGGTTGGCCAAAGAAATTCATAAGTTGGTGGACATTAAACGTTCTACCTCAAAGCTAATATTTCACGATGACAAATGAAGAAGTTAACAGGGGTGAGAATTAAATCGGTGACCTCTAAGATAATATGCCAGCACACTACCAACTATCCAACTCCATGTTGGACATTTTTCCCAATATGTTAGGGGTAAAATAGAGAAACAAAAAAGGAAAACTACAATTTCAGTTTAAATAAAACAAAATCGCTGTTATCAAAGTAAAAATCATCGGACTTACTAGACCATGTTTATAAACTTCAATGAAAGTGGCTTTTTTTCTTGTGCCGTGCCACAAAATTTAACAAACAGCTTAATATGTTCAGTTCCCTCGTCAATTTTTTTTTTCATTTTACAGTCTTTGAACAGTGGAAATTCCTACAAGTGTTGGCATTTTCAAAAAAGAATGGTGGCTGTTTTGAGAATGGAAAAGAAAGAATAAAAGCTTCCCTCCTCCAATTCATTAAAAAGCCTGTGTTTAACATGCTTGTTTTGTTTACATGTACTTGGCCATTACATTTTGGGGAAATCATGTTGTCAAGGTTTTAAGCACAAAATCATTCAAAAGCAGGGCTTCTTGTTCAAATTCATCTGCAGAGAGTACAAATTAGTGGCACTGAGTTTACTTGTTCTTGAAAAAGTCTCAGACATTCCTGATGTGAATGCTCAGAAAGAATACTTAAAAATAGATCAATCACAAAAAACACTGATTTGGGGATGAGAAATACTTCTTATTGTGGATGACAATAATTACTATTTTCATAACTTCATCCACGCGATCATCACATATAATACTCATAAATGTACATTCCTTCAGGGATAACTTGAGGTCCAGTTCCAAAGAACATCCAAGGACGGACCCAGAACCTTTTGTTGGGGGGGGGCTTGTTTTGACAATTTTTGACAATTTTTTGGACAATGTTTGACAATTTTTCCTGTAACCTTTTATGGCCATTCTAAGGGGATAAGGCTAAATTGGGGGGCTTTTTGCATGTCTTTTCAAGGAGGGGAAATGAGTCAGGCCAAAAAATTATTTCTTCCAACAAAACTGTGGCTCTTTTTTGTGGGGGGGGGAATGGTCCTGTTGTCCCCCCCAGGATCCACCCTTGGCTAGCACCTCAAAGAACTGCAAGTTAGGCAAAATGAATAAGAAATACTCATACTTGTAAGTCATCATCCATGGATTCACAAACCAGACGTTCCATTAAATATAAATATACTGAATACCATTAGTATGATGAATTACTAATCAAAAGCACATTCAGATATTCTGTAACAGTGTAAATGAATCAGAGTGGAATAATAAATAATTTAAAACAGGTACATTTACAGACAAAGCCTGAATTATAAACCAATTTCTAAAATGATAATCCTTCAAGAACAACAGCTTGATTTAAATTAACAATAATAAGAGACTTCCATTTTTAATTCTAACAACTTTGTTACTATGGATACGGGATATTCCGATTTCCAAACAAGCTAACCACATCTCCACACGAAATAAAACTGTAATGACCAGAGTACTAGTAAACTACCAACCGCTGCACAAGATTCCAACAACGGTGCACATGATAATAATAATTTTTCAGTCAATGACAGATTATCTGCGATTGAATTTGACCCAAACCAATACCATGGAGGTAGGAAGCATACGATGGCAAGTTTACACACACAAGCATGACAAGTAACACTCCGCATGCACTCCGTATCCACACTGTCGTTCCTGCAGAAAATTATTAACCGCGCACGGAAACTTTGGAATTGGAATTCCTAATTTTCCATTCACTGAGGTTCTCAGGCTTTTACAGAAATACCGCAATGCAAACATAAGAATAAAAGAAAAAGAGATATTACCTCCATTTTGAAGATCATCAGCATCAAAAATGCCATCCACCTGCCAATTAATTACGCAGTGGAACGTGAGTTAACAGGTGGACGCTCCACGTACCATATAGACCAAAAACACCGCCATTGATCTCCATTGGTTTATTATTATTCAAGAGGTATCCTCATATTGGGTTGGGAGAATTCATCATTGTGAAGAATCGTCGGGGAAAAAATACAGAAATTTTACGTTTTATCCACTCCATCATATTATATATGGAATTCAGTCCCATTTCAATCGATGTTTTTGCACTTGAGCCTAATGTTTTGGACACTGGGGACTTTGATTTAAATTTCAACAGAAAAAAAGCGTTTTCGGGTATTTTGATTTCATAGACTAGTAACAGTTTATCGAGCAGGTCGAGTGTCCCGGTCCTGCAATTTAAAACCCACGTGTCCTAGCAGCTATTCCTATCCACACGTGTATGTAGTATGAACTGTATATACGCGCATGCACGCGCACGGGCAAGTCTATTCAGAGGTCATGGTTCAACATCATGATGGCGACTCGCATCGCGAAGAGGGTTGCTGAAAGTTACGCTTTTGTATCGAATACAAGAGCGATCGGACACAGGTTAGGCTAAAATTGTCATTGTTACGTTAGAAATCCATGCGTAGAGTAGTATATTATAGCAAGAAGTGGCTGTCAGGGCCCGGTTCTGACTTGTGAAATCCATCAGACCATGGCGACTGAACTGCATTCTCACCATACCACGCTGAGGCCGAGGCTACTTAGGCCATGTACAAAAAAATGATGTACATGTAGATCCTCCATTATGACATGACATTGACAAAATATTATTAGGGCCTAGGCCTGGTACTTGTGGCGTGTTGCATCATCAGGTGCGAGGAAGCATGGTTGGTGTCGTGAAGAATGCAAGTCGACATGGTCGAGAAGATGTGGTTGTATAAGGTTGAACCATGTGTACGAGAGCATCAGTGTAGATGAATTTCACATAGGCGTACATGGACACCGTTTGTGTAATTGGCATGAAAGCCAAGTTGATGTATTTTTTGCTCCAAACGGTCAACTTCCATGACTTATAAATTGCAAATTGGTTATTTGATTTAAATAGCCAATATTTTTTATTTGTTTATCTCTGGGCAAATTGCAAAGACTTTAAATAAGTAGAAAAATAAGAGACAATGATAGGCGAAAAGACAAGCCCGTGGATTGCCCAGAACTTAAAGTTGATGAAATGAAAAGAACGCCATCTGTTGTTGGGGTTCTGACAATCAACAAGCGGATATGTTACAATCCTCACAGGAAATAAAACCAAGAGACATTCTGATGAATATAATCATAGACCTAATAATACTTTAAAATTAAAAAGTGATATCCAGCTGTTAAGATCCTAACTGTTCTTGTATTGGCCCATATATTCATGTTTTTATTTTACTGAAATAAATTAACCCTAAACCTTTTGCCTTGCAGAAAGATTATGCAGTGGTATCAAAACATCAGACCCCCTAAGTTTTTGGAAACTGAAACTTGGGAGAGGGGGCACCCCATAAATGGAAAGCATAAACATAAGATTGAATGGTCAAATTAGGAAAAGGAAAATGGATTTTAAAAAGGAACAAATCCACCCCTATAAGGATGATCACACTTGTTAACTTAGAGCTGGTCAAAGTACAATTCAGACTGGAGCCATTCCCATGGGTTGAGAGCCCATTGCGTGGCTGGTCTTAAACACTTGATAATACACTGGCTGGCTGTGCACCACCTCTCACAGTATGCCCCACATGTGCATCATGTTCAACAAGAAGATTTATTGCCAGTACCCGTATGAGGAACATACCATAAAATGGCTCGTTCCTTGCTCTGTGGCTGGAGTGACATTTGAAAAATGAAGTAAAATTGTTGGAAAAAACTTCTTGGAAATTTTCTAATTTTAAACTTATGACATTGTGACTTAAAAGCTACTTCAAAATGGGAAAAAATATGTGCTTGCTTGGGAGAATGGACGCTGATAGAGACCGAGCTGAAGGTGAAGGGCTCAGGCTCTGACAGCATCCAATCTCCTGATCCAGTCTTAAACCCTAAACCTGCAGGGCATTTTGGTTAGAAACCGTACCAGACACATCAGTCTGCATCCTTTGTCAAAGTGGCTTGCCTGCCCGGTACAATAAGATCCAACAAGGTCAACTCTCCCCAAGCCCAAATTAAGAGCCTGGGAGTCTGTGGTTGCCAACCACCATAAGATCCAACAGTGGCATTGTTCAATGGGACGAGCTTCAATTGTCTCAAAACGGGCAATTTTGTCAGCTGCTGTTAATTGCCGACTGCAACAAAGTGCACCAGACTTGAACACCTGCTGCGCTATGCTGCGTCTCGCAGGGATAGGTTATTTGAATGAACGTTTAAGACCAGCCAGGCACATATCGTCACAGTTTTCACGAAGAGACAATTCAACCCAAATCATGATTTTTTTTAAGTTTATTTTTTTTGGCAAAATCAACTAGGCTATACAATGCCTACAACTTAATGTAATCATTTTTTACCAAATCTTCTGAAATCACCCAAATCATGTTTATCTCTGTGAGGTAATATTCAACTAAACTGCATTCTTAGTTTCCACGAAGAGACAATTTTGTCTTCCATAGATGTAACGTTGGCAAAAAGATCAAAACCATGGGCAAAACTGGTTTTGCAGTTTTCACAAAGAGACAATTTGAATCCAGCCAATGTGTACAAATGTAACAATGTTGCACCTGGCTATAGCGAGAGCGTGTACTGTGTGTTCAGTTTTCACAAAGAGACAATTTTAAGCACGAATTTTAGGATTTCACGAACAGACAATCTTGTTTGTTTACAAAATAAACAACTTTAATTTACCTCTACAAATATAAGTTTTGTAGTTTTGTGTCATGTAACATCCCCTCTTGCATGGAGTATTATTGGTGAATTTAAAGGCACGCTAAAGTCTACGAAATTAAGCATTTGAAAAAGAGACCAACTTCAAATGCGATGTTCTCAAAACCTATGTTTTGCAATCCAATGAGAAAATTGTCTCTTCACAAAAACTGTGACAATATACCTATACATTGGAACACTATTGTTACAAGGTCCTAGAGATAACCCTGTCTTAAACAGGTACCTTGTTTTATTAACAACAGAAAACAGAGACTTGGGATGTGAAAAAGTTGTTACAAACATGACGTTGTATTAACTGTGCTTTTCTTATCTGTGCCCAACTAAAATCTGATGCACGTTCAAAAGAGTGCTTGCTCTCTTCACTGTCACGGAGGGCAGTTTTTGTGATGTAAATTCACTGACAATGGAAGTACAAAGCATCTGCTCATGCACATCACAAGGAACAATAGCCTTTCCTTCACCATGGCTCATCATGCAAGCAGCAAATAGCTGAATGCTGTAAAAAATATATGAAATGAAAAGGTTATCGAAGTGGGACCTAGGACATGACGGACACTAATGGTTTTTTTTTTTCTGTCACATGGACGCATTTTCTTAAGGTTGAAAGGTCGTCTGGGAAGTCGCAGCTTCTGCAGTGCTGACAACAGCAGTGCGGGAAGCGTTCCCTTGACGCAGCCGCTACCAGGCGTGCCCCAGCCGGTCTACGCGGCACTTTCCAACCACTCCCAAGACTCACAGGTCACCACGCTGGACAATGGGATGCGAGTGGCCTCTCTGAACAAGTTTGGCCAGTTTTGCACAGTGGGAGGTAAGCAGGATTTGTGAATATCTGAACTTTGTCCAATGCCACATTGGAGCATGCCCAACTTTGTCCACTGATCCAGCTTTGTTCATTACTGGGGTATGCCCAACTTTGGCCACTGGCTCAATTTTGTCCATTGCTGAGTTGTGCCCAACTTTGTCCACTGGCCCGAGTTTGTTGCTTTGTCAACACAGTTTGACATAATTGGGGCAAGAGACAAAGTTGGGACAGAACAGTTTGTGCATTTCTTTGGAATACTATTTAGACCCTGAGCAGGGACAGTGGAACCAGTGTCGTCCATTTCCAAATATTTGTCTCGATATTACACCACCTGTCATGCATAACAGTATTTAGGTTCTTCAGGAGAGCCCTATTTACTCTCAATCACATCTTGCACCTCGTCAGACTTTTTTTTATATGAATTATGTTGACATCTTTCATGAGTATATAGTATGCAATTGGATCATCATTTTTCAACAAGCGCTGTTTGTTTGTTGGGGTGTTGGTGTGTATGCGTGTGTTTGTTTGTTTGTTTGTTGGGGGTGTTTGTTTGTTTGTTTGTTTTTTGGGTTTTTTTTTTTTTAAGAATTCTCTATCGGTCCACAATTTTGAAGTGTCATAAACATCAGGAAGTTTACCCTTTTTCCTGATGTGACAGTAAAAGAGTCATTCATTTCAAGAGGGTAACATTAAGGTTGATTTGAGAATAGTTGAACGGTTTAAAGTAAGGTTCGAGTTTTACAGAGTTCAAGAATTTCTAATGAAATTTTCATCATTCCTTGTTCCATGTCATGATTGTTAGTTTTGATTGACTCTGGGTCACGATATGAAGCTACCTACACAAAAGGCATATCTCACTTCCTGGAAAAGCTGGCATTTGGGGTAAGTTTCTCTTGAATTGTCAGAGTCTGCTGGATTTTCAATATGAGTGGTGTCGTTTTGTCCCCAAAACTGGCATTGAATAAAAAAAGTGAGGCAGATGAAATCTGTTAAGTCATTGTGTTGGTTTGTTTCATCAGGTTGAAATAACTTGAGTTGTGATATTTTTTAATGCATGGAAATTGAATCGTCTTAGCATTGTTATCTGAATTATGGTGTCTATGAAGGAGTCAAATAATTTGAAGTTTCAACCAATCTTTACTGATTTCATGTCTTTTTGCCGGACAGTCCACAGAATTGTACAAAAATAGAGATCACATACTGCAGGAGCTGGAGAAGTATGGCGGAATTTGCGACTGCCAGTCATCAAGGTGAACTTTTCAACTAATTTGTCAACTTAAAAAGGAATATTTTGGTTGCACATGCTTGCTCACAGAGTGTGTTCCAAACATTTGTTTTTTGTTGGAATCCTGGGTTATATTTGCTGCATGATGCTTTGAAACTGTTCCAGTGATGGTTGACAAAGAAACATGCTGTGTTGTAATTGCAGAGACACCTTGATCTATGGGGTGTCGGCCGACACGCGAGGTCTGCCCGAGGTCGTCAAGATCTTGTCGCAGGTTGTCCTTCAACCAAACCTGACCTTGGCCGAGGTAAATGCTTCTTTAGTAACAACCTGCTCCATAACTGTCCCAGAAATTGTTTTAATTTTGTTTGAAATATTTCTGGAATGTTCTTTTCATTGAGGTGAACTTATGTCTTTTTCTCTTTCTTCCACTTACACAGATAGACGATGCGAGAGTTGCCATCCAGTTTGAGCTGGAGGACGTTTCGTTCAGACCGGACGCTGAACCCACACTCATGGAAATGATCCATCAGGTAATATGTTTTTTTATAACTTTTCTCTGGGCAACTGTAAACCCAAGGATTCAAGCCATACCCCTGAAGTAGGGGTATTGAGTTAAAAACCTCAGATAAACTGACACTTGTCAAACTGAGGATTCCACCTAGTGTAAACAAGACCCAAACCGTCCAACCAGCCCTGGAGCCCCAGCCTGCCAGCCACTGCAGGACCCAATAGCGAAAACGTTTAGTAAGACTAGCTCTCAGTTGTCTGAGTGTTGGTAGTTTATGTTACTACACCTCATAAATATTCACAAGCAAATCGGAGTATGTCATTGGCCGATTCCACCTCGCGTCAGAGAAGTAGAAATGATACACGACCAGGTGGACGTCATAGCGGTTAGTATCCACCTCGCTGCTGTGCGATAGTTTTTTCTGGTAGCATAAAAAAATCCCTCTGGAACCCGCCGCATAAAGATGTAGTCTGTGTCATGTAATCTTTACGGAACCAGCCTATGAGGAGTTGTATCCTAATAACTATTACAGTAAAGACCCAAAACGTATGTCAGCACCAGACTATGAGGCCCTGTTTCTATGCACATCTGCATTCCCCTATCATTACGTGGAAAGTTAGCAGCTGAGAAACTACAATGGCGTCTGTGAGTACAAGTAATGTGAGATTTCTGTTTGAATATTTATGAAGAGTATTAAAACAAATCCAGCATGGTTTATTTTGTGTAGGGAGGTAGTCAAGCTGACCTACACCTCGGGACCAGTCATTCCCACGACTTCTCCTCAAACCATGCTGTATTTGTATACTGCTGCTGTAGGCTGCCAGTGTGGCTGCAGCCCAAACCTGCTGCCCTGATCATATCTGACACCATGAGGGTTGATTTTTCTAAATCATTGACAGGCAACTCATGTCAAAAGGTGAGAACGGGAAAATCCGGTCCACATGAGTCAGTGAGTAAAGACTGTATGTGCTAGAGTTTTGGTTGACACATACCTCTGATAAGGTATTTAAGATGACTTTGCTAACAATTTGGAACCAACCTAAAAAAGACAAGACACCAGCACCACTTTTTGAGTGGAAGGTCTCAAAACAATCATGGACATTGTAGGTCAATCGAAACTCTGGAACATTTTTTGCTCACATATTGTCCAGGTTGCCAAACCCAATGATATGTCAACGCAAAGAGGTGACTTGCTCTTCCTAAGCGGACTAGAACCAAATTACTGAAAATCGCCTCAAGACTTTGTGGAATCGGACCACTTACTCAAACCAGCCCGGTTCTCTAAATGGGTTAGTATTGCAATTAAACAGCTGTGAAATTCTTTTCTCTGTTTTGTACTTTTGTACAGGCAGCATACAAGAACAATACTCTAGGATTGCCCAAGCTGTGTCCAGCGGACAACATCGCCCGCATGGACTACCGCACGCTGCAGAAATACCTGCACAACTACCACAACCCAAAGCGCATGGTGCTGGCCGGGGTGGGGATGGACCACAACCGGCTGGTGGACTATGCAAATGAGTACTTTGTCGGCGGGGCCCCGACTTGGGAGAACGCAGAGGTTGTCAGCAAGGCTGTAGAGGTGGACCAGTCGGTCGCGCAATACCTTGGTGGCGTGGAGAGGGTGAGAAAAAATTCATTCAAATTATCTTTAAGTTAAGTTGGCAAGTGACTGCAATCTTAAAACGTATTCCTGCAATTTACCAGTTGGATTTAAATTGTGATGCACATGCGGAAAGCACGCCTTTCCACAATTGGTAAAATATTATACTTTCACAAAAATTCTTAAACTTCAGTCACAATTGAAAACTGATTTCAGATGTTGCTTCTTTACTGCTTCTCAGAGAATTTCTTTAATGTACTCTTCATATTTGTGACTAATTCATGCAGTGACACCTTCATTTTTTCATCAGGAAGTGCCTGTTTTTTATCATAAATGTTTCACATTCAAATGGGTGTCAGAAGTGGGATATGTAAGTTGAATCTACACCCAGGCAGGGTAGACTAAACACATGCAACGTTGCCAATCAGGATAGGATATCAAGCCCCTACAGGTTTCAGATGTGAGCTGCATTTAGGTTACATTGATGTGTATTTAGACAGCACAGAGCCAAAAAATTGGCATTGTCTAAGACCAGTGTGTTGTCTGTAATCTACAGGAGGTTCGGGACATGTCAAACATCGCCCCAGGTACCCCTATCCCCGAGCTGGCCCACATGGTCATCGCCCTGGAGTCCTGCGGCCACAAGGACCCGGACTTCATCGCCTTCTCTGTGCTGAACATGCTGATGGGGGGCGGAGGTTCATTCTCGGCAGGCGGGCCAGGCAAGGGCATGTACACCCGGCTGTACCTAAACGTCCTGAACCGCTTCCACTGGATGTACAGCGCGGTGGCCGTGCATCACAGCTATGAGGACAGCGGGATCTTCTGCATCCATGCCAGTGCGAACCCGAGCATGGTGAGTAAACTTCATCACTTGTGAGTAAGGGCGACTTTGGTCCGACCCTATAAAAGACCAAAAACAAATTGTTTGTGAAAATATTGAGAGACAGGTGTTAGTTCTGTTTCATATTCCTTCCAAAAGCATATAAAAAGCCCCAAAAGCCTTACCCCTCATAAAGGCTCGAAAAGGCAAATTTTTTTGTCCCTCCCTTCTCAAATATGTTTGATCCTGCCCCCGTGTATGATTCCGAATCCACCCTTGCTTGTGAGGTACTTTATGGAACTCATTCGTTACCTGAAAACAGTGTACCAAACTATCAAATGCATGCAAATCTTACAAGGTCATTGCAACCCGCATGATCACTTAGAAGCAGATCTGGCCGCTGTTATTGTTTCACGTAGAACTTAGGCTGCATCCAAATCTCTTGTCTAGAGCTAGGTCTAGATCTTCACTCCATTGGAATTGCATGAAGACGCACAGACAATAGACCTAGCCGTACCTCTGGAAGCCCATTTCGGACACGGCCTTACAATCTTTACGCGATCAACTATTGTTCTGTTCATAAAAGGAAGTAGGGGGGGTGCAGCTGTATGATGCAGATGCAGAGCCCACAAAGATGCTACATGCAAGAACAGCAACATTTTGCTTAGCATAATCAAGTTAACCACAGTATTGTGTGATCTATGTATAATGCTTGTAGCAGTTTTCCAGCTAATCTGTTTTCATTCTAGTAAGCAGAATTTTTGACACAACACCAGCAGAAGGGTGAATGTCGATGAACACCACGAGTAGAGTGCTTCATGGTTTACCTGTCTTTGTTAACCCGACTTTTTGCAGGTGAAGGAATTAGTGGAGGTCATCGTACGGGAGTTTGTGAACATGGCCGGTCGCATAGAAGAGGTAGGCCATACTTAGCAGTTGTCCTCTCTGACCAGGTCCCAAAAAAATAAGTCATTGAGGCCTTTTTTTTTTCAAGTGTGAATTATATGGAAATAGCAAACTGAATTCTTTCTTTTAGTGTATCCTTAACCCTAACGGTCCTAAATCCTCCAATTTTAATATGATTTTGCACGCACCCTAGGGAGTTAGGGTAAAGTCTGGCATCCCGATGGGAATGGACGCTGTGGAGGAAAAATGCTGAGGGTTCCTGTTGATTTTCATTGTGCAAGATTAAGGCCTTGAACTCAAAAGTGGCTCTGGCGAATTCCAACTCACTGTGTCAGGCTGGGTCACCTTGTGTTTTGTACACCGGCAAGGTACACGGCTCCCTCTTGAAAGTGAAGAAACTGTGTCAGACCTTTCCAGATACCCCCGTTAACAAGTTAATGGCTGTGAAACTTCACTGGGAGTGGAAAGATTCAAGTATATGTATGTAAACTGTTTACCCATGGGAATGTCAACTTGGGAATGTAGAAGATATCAATGTAGCCTGATTTGTTGTGTAAACTGTACAAGGGAAATGTTGCCATCTAGCCCACTGACTTTATGCTACACCCAAATAAGAATGGACAGAGAAGAGGACTTGAGTAATTCCAAAAATTCAACTCGAAAGCCACAATCTCTGCTGTCATTATTCCCCACAAATCACCAGAGACCAGAAGCCTCTGTCACAGTAAATCATTGATCCCCTTTCACACCTGTTTCGGGAAACATCATCGGAAAATTTCCCCTCAGCCCAAAACTTAACCCTTGCAATCCCCAACCAGCCCAACTCCAACATCCAGGGTTTTGTTGTAGTCTGTTAGGATGAGTACTGCACTGGTAAACTTGACTGTGTTGTGTGGAATGAGGCATGTCACAAACCCACCGAGTCCGAGTGTTTGTAAGCAAAGTTTAGAGATATGGTGTTGGGATTTTGAAGGAAGATTCCGCATGACTCACGTCGTTGGAACTTCCCACTTAAACTCCTTTGCCGTTTACAAGAGGAAGCCAACCACATACTATTTTTGTGAGATTGTTTTCCCCTCTGTTACAGACCGAGCTCAGCCGAGCCAAGAAGCAATTGCAGTCCATGCTCATGATGAACCTGGAGGCCAGACCAGTGGTCTTCGAGGACCTCGGCAGACAGGTGTTGGCGACTGGGGAGAGAAAGCACCCCCAGGAGTTCTGCCAAATGATCGGTGAGCACCGTAACTTTAACCCTGGTATTGTACCGCTAAAGAGCTTGTTTGATGGGAACTTGGGGGGGGTTGAAGCCATGATATTTTTACTAAGAGTCATTTGCTCCTTTCATTTCCAATTATTTCCTACTGTTTTCAGCATTCTGTGCTGTAGTCATACTTTGGGGTTTCTGCATATGGCTGAGACCTCAGCTGGAGAAGTTTGTTACTTCATGAAGTATACTGGACAAACATCAGTCCTGAATGACTGACACAATGCAGCATGCTACTTGCTGGCTTGTGTTGATTGGTATTAAGCCAAACCGAAAAAACCCATAAATTTAATTAAACTTGGCTGTGTTTAGCAGAATATGTCCACTGTTATTTCAGGAGGTTCCCAGTATCTGAAAGGATAAAGTTCAAAGAAAGTTTTTTTGTAAAAATGTCTTTTCCGAAATAGAAAAAATCACAGCGGATGACATCCAACGAGTAGCAAGCAGGATGCTACGTTCCAAGCCGTCTGTGGCAGCCATGGGCGACCTCTCTCGGCTACCAGACTACAATGCCATCCAGGAGGCATTGGCTAGCAAGGACGGACGCCTGTCCCGCAAAATTGCCTCCCTTTTTAGGAGGTAGTATTCATGTCAGGGATTGAAGTTCAGAGGTCAGCAGTGCATAACCATAAGCTTAAGTTGAGACTGGAACGACCAGAATTTTGACAAACATTTGAAATGTTTTAAATGCTTGTTTTTTTGCTGTCCACTCATTCAACATGCCCAAAGCCAGAGTCAAAGATTGAAGAATGACCTAGAAAAGGTTTGAAAGGGAATATTTGGTTAAAATTTTCATGCCAGTCCTGTTAATTATTTGCGACCCTCAAGAACTACCATGATTCAAAAATCAACATAAGCCATTTAAAAGGTTTTACATCATTTTGTGACACTGCAACAGTATACAAGGTGTTTTTTTAATCAAATCAGATGGGGTTGATGCCAGTTGTGGAAATTTTCTCTTGAGCATATTTTCTGCATACTAAGAAGGAATTGTGTTCATATATTAAAGTGTGGTGCATTTCACCAGTGGAGACTTTCCCTTGTTAAACACCACGTCTTCTTATTTGGAAACAACTGGTTTCCTATTTGGGAAAACTACATCTTCACATTTGGGAATACCAGGTCTTCCCATTTTGAAACACCAGGTCTTCTTGTATAGAAACAAATGGACATGCAGAGAACAGTAAATGTTCTTGCGGGAATCGAGGCACCATCAAAATATTCCGGTAGCGTCACAAAGATTACGGCAGTGTTCTGGGTTTTTAAACTACAACAAATTTTTTAGAAAGGATGAAGAGAATAGACCTAATACTTAATGACATTTTGCTTTGTTTACATGTGCGCTTGCACATTGGAGCTCGATTGATTGCGCCAATGTCACTTCCATAGGAAAGGGCATGTGTAAACAAAGCATGACATTATTATGTTAGAGGTCCGTTATCATTTCTGTGGATTAACCCTAACACTCCTCAATCCTTCACCTGTTGGAGGACTGAGGAGTGTTAGGGTTAAGATTGCACTGGTTTTGTGGCTGTGAGGTGGACTTAACCATGACCCCTTTCAAACTCATTAATACCTGCGCAATATCACAACATGTCGTACTTAAAACAGTTACTTGTTAATGATGCAAAAGCATATTTTGTATTACTGATCTCATTAAGACCCCATGATTCAACATAGGTCGCTGTGCTGGTCATGATGAGTATTTACCATAGAGCTCTATAAGAAAACCTAAAGTGCACACTCAGTATTATATGCATGCAGTACTTGTGTGCCGTCGTGGACACGCAGCCGCTGTCGCCACTGTGGTCGGGATTAAGCTAAAAGTGCCGGGAAGTGATATAACCACGTGCTGCATTTAAACTGGTTTTGCAGCGACCAGAATGTGCTTCTATGACGTCTATCTGTATGCGCACGCTTTGCATGTGGATTTAGCCGATCACACACATAAGTGGAATATACTGTTTGCTTTTTTTGTCAGACGTTATAATAGGATTATTAATTACCACAAAATGTTGTTTTGTTATGAGCAATATGAACACAGCGTGCACCTGGCATACTTGAATTTTTCCACGGCGGCAATGGCGGACGTTGCTTAAGGTCACGCGACGAGAACTCTGGTACTTACACATAGGTATCCCAAGTGGGGATATATAGCCAACCCCCCCCCAAATTGGAAATAGAGGAAAAAGAAATTAGGGAAAGAAATGAAAACAAAGGAGAAAGGGCTGAACATATCAGATTCAAATGAACAAAAATATAAAAATTAGCAAGAAGTGAATCTATTAGATAGTGCAGAGTATTCCCCTTGCTAACTAATGCAAGTTCCTTTCTTGGTTGTATGCAACATTATCTTTAATGTGATTAGGACAAGAAACGCACAGTTACAATTTTTTTTCCACAGACATTGTAAATATGTAAAACTTCTGCAAGGGGTCATCAATAAACGGAAGAGGTTCACTTTAGAAACCACTTGTTTTGCTTGTTTTTACTCCAGTACATACAGTATAATAAATGCCCAGGCCACAGTGCACTGGTGCTGTGAACTGTATAGTCTCTTTTGTTTGGACCCCGTCTGAAGTCTCAGCAGTGTGTGTTTCCTTGCTTTTATTATTCTTTTGGGGAGGGGGGAGGTGTTTTGGGGAGGGGTTGATTCAACCACAGTGACGACATGGTTAGTGCTGCTAACATGCTCTGAGTAGAAGACTCAAGTCAAAATTGTTTAGTAGCTTTTTTAATATTTATGTATGTTTTCTGTGTTTGTTTTTTGTTGGCCAGGCATTTCGATCCGTGAAAAGGAGTCTTGGTTCTATTTCAAAACTTGAGCAAGAAACTGTCCATTTTCATTTCATTCATTTTATTTTTCGGGATAAACATTTCACAGAAATACAATAACATACAGTTTACAAAAATTACAGAATAGGACACACAAGACATACAAAAGACAAGTGAACAGTATTTAACCAGCTCCCGCTGGATTACCCAAAAGAAACATGGTTTCTGTCGAGGGGCTCTCCAACTGGTTAAACAGAAAACAATGAGAACAACTAAAGATATAGATTGATACAATATAAAAAATATAAGGCTTGACATAAATAACATACTTGTGGGTAAAAATTGTGGTAAGATGAAAAGGGGAAGAAATAAGCACTTCTAGGAGTAGTATGCGCTAATTCAACCAGCTTCAAGGCAAAAAAGGGCAAGCGCGTAAATTACATTGCAATAGAGGTTGTTGCAAGTGAAAAAATGCCTTTGTGATCACTTTACATTCTCCCTACCAATTCAAAGGCGTGCGCAGGGTTGCGGTCGTGAATAATCATGTTTAGTTTTCACTAAGCCAATCGCAGTCGAGTTTTCAAAAGCGGTAGCTGATGGTGAAAGGAAAGTCCATTCCCTCCACGCACACTTTAGGCTGTCAGTAATCATCGATTTGGTAGTTGTTCGAACAGAAAGTGCTGCGAAAGTCATGGTTTTACTCCACTGATCCAGAGGTAAGTCACATTTTTAAAAGTACTTGGAAAACCCAAAGGAAATCTGCGACTTTGAAGGTTTTGTGAAAAATAAATTCCATAGAAGCTGAGGTTTAAAGTGAATGGTTTGCTATCCAGTTCACATGGGTACGAACAGATCACAGAGGTTAGCGTCTGTAGAAACAGGTTGCGTGTTCGCCTTGGAATGGCACGCATGAATGAATCCAGCTTGATACAGGTGCACGCATTGTTATTGCCTCGGCAATGAACAGGTGTAACGACAAGCGTTGTGGATTGCGTATTGTGCGCTTACGGATATTTGTAAATGGATATTTTCCAAGGTTTAGCTAAGCTACTGCGTGATGTAATATTTTTCAACCGGTTGAAGTATTGGGGGCAATTTATTTCTGGTGTTGGAAAAAGGTCCGTACTCGGATAACCAGACATCCGAAATGTGAATATGTCCTAAAAAGTCTTAGCAGGGAAATTATTGAGTTCGGAGTCTCTGAGTCTTAGGTGACCGTGTTTTTTGCTCAGGATACCCAGGAATGTACAGAAATTGATCCTAGATTTTTGTTTTCATTGGGATGACATATAATAACTGTATGTTTTTACATGGTTTTTAGATGGTGAAGACAAGTTTATTCTTCTTCTGACAAGCGCAATTTTTTAGGGCAAAAATACATTTTCATTAAGATTTATTAATGCTTTCATTTGTATTGTTTCATTTGTTGTTGTCATTTTCATAGAACTTGAAAGGACAGTAACAAAGTTTTTAACATTCAAAGGGTCCGATTAATTACATTTCTGTCACCTGTTTGTTCTTCTTTCCCCTTATCAAAATGATAGATGAAGAGATGGACAATGTTGTGACACACCCAAAAACCCTGGGGGTAAAAAAACATGCTCTGATGCATCCAAATTCAATCTGCAGTTCATATTGATGTTAAAGTGGCATTGAAAACTTTGCCACAAGTCCCCACAGTCAAACATAAATATAAAATTTGAAAACTGAGACATGCTGGGAATGTCAGCCTTGTGGGTACTTTGGGTGCTGTGGTGTAGTTTTCTGGTTTCCTCCACCGCGGGCCAAAACGTCAACCAGCAAGCCTGCGAGACAACGAACAGTGATGGCACCAGGCAGTACCGCGCATGCCTGGCCGACGCAGAGGTGCTGTACAACCTCAACATCTTGCCCACCGTGGAACCCGAAGATTACACCTGTGGCTTCGGCCCAACTGATAGAGAAAACATATACTGCACTCTGGTGAGTGAGTTCAGTTTACAGGTCTGCTGATATGTTGATTTCCTCTTTTCAGAACAATTTCTTTAAAGATATGCCCTGTATTTTGTTCATTTTTAGCACACGATATAAGTCTCAAACTGAGTAGCATTTGTTTGCGATGTAAAATGAAATACGTGTATCACACACAAACATTGGCCTATGCTAGGATTGGCTTGTTAGGTCCTGTAACTTTTCAACCTCTTGTCATTTAAATGTAAGCTGGTTTCCAGCAGCTTTTTCACTTTTTTGCAATTTAAATACTTCAATGTCCTTTAATCCCCTTTTCATTTTCTTTCTTTATGTCAAAAGATTACTTCCAACCAAGGGTGTTGTAAGGACTTTTTTGGGGGGGGGGCGAATCACTTATCAGCAACAAACTAACAAACCATTAACAGTGAAAAGGGTCAATTCTAGGATGTTGTCAAGCACCCCCTTTCCTGGGGGGGGGTGTGTTACTTTTTCTTTTCTGTTTCCCCTTTTTTAATGTGTCAGGTTTTGGGGGGTTGGGGTGTTGAGTGCTCCTACTCCTCTCCCCACCCCCCAATGATGCCCATGCTTTCAACCCACTGTACTTACATGTATAATTGAGTCTTGGGTGAATGGGAAGTTTTATCTTGGACACATGGTGTTTGAGAAAGCCAATCTTCAAATAATTATAATTTACTGTCTTTTGTGAAAACCACATTTTTTTTACTGTTGCAATTGATTTGAAAGCTAATTAGACACAAAGAAATCTACTTTGCAATTGTCTGTAGGGGTGGAGCACAAATCAATTTTTAATTTGCTGCATGACAAAAGCTCAATGAGTCATAGTTCATTGTGTAGCGGTGCGCCATTAGGCGTGGCGCATGTTGGAGCAGAGGTTTCAATAATCAAAGAGCAGCTGTTACTGTTGCCATGACTACAGGCCTCAAAGGAACAGCCTAGTTGCACTCTGTTCTCAGAAAAATGAAACAGTTGAATTTTTCATACCAGTGGACTGTTTATAGATGTTGACATCAAATGGAAAACAATCTTACTAATTAGCTGGGAATCAGCAGTGTAGCTGTACTCTGACCTAGAAATTGTCATGTGAGATGGTATAGTATCCAGTTACTTGTCTTCCCTGCAATTGAAGTCACTTGCATAGCTGCATATTAAAAAAATTCTGTGTGTGGTTTCAATTAGTTTGGAAAGAGATATCAAAGAAAAAGTGATTAATTAACTTCAAAATTGGTAAGTCTCAGCTAGTCAGTGCATTCTGTTCAGTGAAATACTAAAATAGCAATTCATCCTGCATCCTGCAATTCATCCTGTCTACACAAATGCCTGTCAGATTTTTAAAGAAAATGGTCACACTTCCTCATTTTATACTTTTTTAATATAAAGGTAATTTTGGGGGATTATTCTGAGGGCTAAAATGTTAATCATCAACGAGTTCTGGACAATCAAGGCATATTTTACTGATTTTACCTTTTACTGTTTTGGACCTAAGACAGAAACGACTGAGTATATGTACATGTTATTGTAACACTGGTACAAAGTTATTGCTAATTTCTCATTTGTTGCTGAATGACGCAGTTTGTTACTGCTGAGTGCATTGCTCCCTCCCTCCCTCGCCCTGAAAAAGTGATTTGCAACCGTGAACATGCATTGATATCAGACACTATTCCTGCGTCCTAAATTTGTTTTACAGGACGTCTCGCAGACATGCAGCTTGTGCGACGCGTCCAACAGCAGCCTGTCCCACCCGCCCAGGTACAGCTATGACCAGCCTGTCCCGGGCCAGCCCACCTGGTGGCAGTCCATCACCTGGTACAACTACCCCACCCCACTGGAGGTCACGCTGACTCTGTCCCTTAACCACTCCTACACGGTCAACAGCGACATCAGGATGGTTTTCCAGTCCAGCCTGCCCCGCCGCATGGTTCTGGAGAAGTCCTCAGACTATGGCCAGTCCTGGCAGCCATACCAGTACTATGCCCACAGCTGCAGTTATTTCCAGATGACCGCCGCGAACAGCCCCAGCACCCCGACAGAGGTCATCTGCAGTGAGGGTTACAGCAGTGGGCCTCAGACGGTGTTCTACTCAGGTGGAGAGGTCATATTTGCTGTGCAGGACCGCCTTTCTCTCCTGACGACCTCTCCCTTCCCAGACATCTTCCAGAGGGCGTATGAGAATGCCACCGATTTGAAGGCATTTCTAGAACTGACCGACTTGCGGTTGAGGTTATTATACCCTGCAACGGATGGCCTTGAATGGACTCAACAGTACCAGAGCCTCATTCAGTACTACTATGGCATATCCAACATTGATACTTTCCTCATGTAGGTTTATATATTTATCCTTTTATTTTTCTTTTGGCTTTCAGGGAAGATTTAATCAATGTTTGCCGATTTGCTTTTCCGTTCATGTATTTTCTGTGTGAAATACAAATTTGGTGCGCAGTTTTAGAACAGACAGATAGGAAAAAGATATCTGAAAATTTGTGCATACATGTAGGTGCCAATCCATTGTTTTGTGTGTGTGTGTTTCTTGGTTTTATTTGTTTTTTTGGGGGTGGCATTTTTATATTGTTTTGTTTTTTTTCTGTTTTGTTTTTGTTTTGTTTGTGTGTTTGTTATGTGTTTGGTTGTGTTTTGTTCCAGATAGATGTTCCTTAACATTTACACTTGCTCTTACATTATCAACTTATCTTCAATGTTAATTCAGCAAATTTGAATTTGAAGTCCAAAGCATGGATTTGATATCAAAAATAGTCTAACATCAATAAAGGATGTACAAATAATAACTCCCTTGATTGACTTTGATAATACATAACATAATTTATGAAATTCTTATTGTATGAAAGTACATTTTGTTTTCTGAGAAAAAAATTAGTACTGGTTCTGTCATTTGAGGATTGTGGGTCGTGAAGTTGTGTTATAAATGAGTGGTTAAATTTGACTGTGAAGTTAATTCGATGTTAAAAGGCATTTTGGCAAAATGCACCAGAAGTCAACTCAGATGGGAAACTCACCATTACATCATAATTCACAGTTCAAGTGGTGTAAGCATGAAGTGGATATTACAAAGACAAAAAAATGCATCATCAGGAAGAAAGCACATGCATAAAAGGTTTTGTGCTGTGCAAGTCTGAGTCTAACTTCTTCAGAACGTGAAAACTTCCCACTGTAATATTTCCATAATACTTGGCATTGTCAGCAACTTAGCTGTTCATGTTCTTTTTAGAATTTCATTCAATTTCACTGAAATTCATTTGTGCAGACTTTGCAAATATTGATTCAAAGGTGCTTTCAAAATCCCTCAACAGATGTAACTGCAACCTACACGGCAAGTACTGTTCCGTGGATGATAACTCCGAGACTGTGTGTCAGTGTTCACACAACACCATGGGCAAGAACTGTGAGCAGTGCCTCCCTCTGTATAACAACCGGCCTTGGTCGGTCGGTTCCACCCTTCCGTTTCCAGTGGGGACTGCAAATGAATGTGAAAGTAGGTGTCACCTTTAAAAATGCTCAAAATAACAATGTTTTCTGATATTTGTTGGCTCTTTTACAGGATCAAAGTGTTTAAATTCACTGAACTGTGAGCCAGATAAGTCAAGAAAAACTGGAACAATGAAAGCTATTATTTCTGGTTGGCATTTAACCTTGAAGCTCCTGTAGTTTTCAAAACAGGTTCAACAGGTGGTTGTAAAGGATTTCATTTAGGATTTGGGAAAGAAGATTCTAGCATCAATCAGTTGACGTGGGGCTTGTCAGTCATTGAAACATTCATTTGTTTTTCACAATGGCATTTGGGGGGGGTAAGTTTTTTTAGAAGAATGCCCTGGGATGATTTGAATTGCTCTTAAATAAGCTTTTCCTTCAACCAGAAATTGATTTCAAGTCTACTTACCTGTTTGTCTTACAGTTCATTTCACACTGCCTTCCCTATTTTTGCTGTTTTTAACTAGAATGCATTTGCAATGAGCATAGCGACAGTTGCACATATGACTCGTTCCTTGGGCAAGGTGTATGCAATGATTGTAGGGACAACACAGCTGGTCCGTCCTGTGATATCTGTGTAAGTGGTTACTTCCGAAATACCAGCATCTCAGCAAGCAGCCCAGAGTCCTGTATTGGTAAGTTACCTTTTTGTATGTTTTTCAGAAGAACCATTTGAGCAGCCATCATCGGGAGGCAGTGTCATGTTTTACAGAAAGTTTCATTATCTGTAGACTACGCACAATCTGAAATTTCCCCCTCCCAGTCAACAAAGACACATCAAAAGCATAGACTTGGACACTGTTGCTGCTGTGTGCTTAGAGTCCATGCAAAGAAGCAACCGATTCAAGTGCCTATGAAGATTTTTTTTAATTGCATCTCCATTTTGACACATTTTAAAACAATAAAATTACTTGTTTTGCTTACCTTTCCGTTGGTCATATGCTTTGCTCTCCGTTTTTCTACAGAATGTTCGAAAGTTTTGACTGTGGCCGACTGTAACGTGTATGTCTATGGGTGGTGGTTTTCCTTGGTCCATGTATCATTCTGAGTCAGAGCTGGAACTCTCATATGCATCCTGACATGGCCAGTTAGACTGGTCTGAACATGTGCAGTAATGATTTTCAAGAGTTTATTGAAATGTATTCAGTGAAAACTGTGGATTGGTCTGTCACAGAATGCAACTGTGAGCCCCTCGGGACAGTGGAGAATGACACAAGTTGTGCCCAGTTTTCCATAGACGGCAAGCTCATCGGTCAGTGTAACTGCACTGAGAATGTGGAGGGCCGTGCTTGCGACGTTTGTATGGACGAGTACTATGGACTGCTCCAGGTTGACCCACAGGGGACATGCAAAGGTTAGTGACTGCTGTCACCGGCTCAAGGTGACCAACCCTACAAAAGTCAGGCCAACAATCTGAGAGGATTGCATTAATGTTTTGAAGTGTGTGAATGAAAAGGACATTAAAATAAGTTTTAAGTAACAGGTTTGCGGTAGCACCATGCAAAATATCTCTTGTGTAAGTATGTGTGGTTCTAAAAGGATGGTACATGTACCTTACAGAACCACACCTACTAAAAAAAGAGATATTTTTGTATGGTGCTACAGTAACCTGTGCCTGCTTCACCATGAAAAGCATCAAATCTCAAAATAAACTTTACTTAGCAAAGAGTGTATTGAGCTCTCTGTGTTCATACGTTGTCACACGTCTTTATGTTTGTCTTCCATTATAAAAGAGAAGAGCATTGACAGACAGAAGCATTTTACACTGAAAACAAAACAGGAAAAGCACCACAAATATTGGGCTCCTCAGTCTTCAAACAACATTTCCAATCTCTTTGGACTATCCCAGTCTGCTGTCCAATAATGTGCATAATACAGGTGCTCTAGATCTGGTGTGGTCAGTTGAATCTGAGTTGCTTTATTGAGTTTTTGGAATCGAGTGAGGTTTAATAATAAACTTGCTCAAGCTTGCTCTGTTTATTCCCATGATCTTGCATTTTTTGCCCCAGAGTGCAGTTGCAATCTCCTGGGCACAGTCAATGCCAGCAACGTCTGTGAAAAGGAGTTAGGAGCATGCCTCTGCAAGCCCAGCACAGGCAACCGTGACTGTGGACAATGCAGGGATAGTTACTATGGTTACCCAACTACAGAAAGTGAGGTATACATGTACATGTTGAACACGAATGTAAAGCCCAGGGCTCCAAAAAATTAACCACAAGTTTAGACTTCATATCATTAATGGATAGAAGTCACATCTGAAAAATCCATGCAAAGTCATCCAGATTGTTTCTTAATAATCAGAAAGAACATTGCTAAGCACTGTCTCAAAAGTAAAGTAAAATGTCTGTCAGTGACTGAGGTTAACTCAAGCCAGAGTAGAAATATATGCCTAATGTTTTCACACACACAGTGTGCATGGGCAGGCCCTAACTGCATTACAAGGATGTTGTATATTCTAGGCAAGTTAAGACAGAGGTGTGGGGACATTTCTCTGTCCCCACAACAATTTTTGGTCCCCACAAAAATCGTTGCAGTGATGAGCGCCTGTCCCCAAAAACTACGGACTGTGAATGCAAGAACGCTTGTACGCATGTCACGTATTCGTAACTGACCGGAGCAAAGAATTTCAACACCTATATTTATGATTACTAAACATAACGCCTTGTTGTGGAGCATTTGACTTGGCACAAGTTTGTGAATAATTTTAACAGAAAATTCATTCGGATTAGAACTCATGAGTGGAATGCAGCTTTGAAGACCTGCTCAGATGGTGAAAGTCCTCACTGTCCCGGCCATGTTTGTTTTTTTTTTGTTTAGGAGTGTTCAGCGTGTGACTGCAGCATTGGAGGATCCACCTCCCCGGTATGCAACAAAGTGTCGGGTCGCTGTTCTTGCCGCCGTAACATTACAGACAGACAGTGCTCAGTCACCGAGCAAGGCTTCTACTTTGAGCTGCTTGACAGTAATCGGTCAGTGTCAGGCCCAATGTCAAGATGCTGGGTAGATTAAGAAATCTAGATTGTCTATACCTAAAATTAGATGCAGATTCTTCCAAATGTATATAATCCTGTAAACTTCTTTCAGTACACTATGGGAGACTTTGAGACGCTTGGTGGCACCAGATAAACCCGGCTGTTTTGCCAGTTCTGGGCACGTGCTCGCAGTTTTGGGCATGTATTGTAGTTTTGAGCATGCAGGCAACTGTGGAAAAGGAGTTATTTTCTCTGCCACCACTAAGCATCTCAAAGTCTCCTATTGTTCTGTAACCTTATATCATTTTGTCATTTTCAGAATATCATAATCCATCAGTGTTATTTACCATTGTAATATTTAATTTCAAAGAGGCCCGTATCTAAGTTAATTCAGATTTGAATTCTGCATGTCCTCATTTGTATTATTTTTATTAAATTGACTTTGATTTTTTCTGTTGATGCTTTGTTAACAGATATGTATATTTTAGTTGAAGTCTCATTCTTGTAAATTCCTTTGCTCAGCTATGATTCATGGGAGGCCGAATCTGACTGCTTGCGTACCTCTGCCGTGCCTTTCAACCTCTTTACCGGTTCTGGCTTTCAGACTTGTTACCAGGGCAACCAGGTGACATTCAGAGGAGTCAGGGCTGTCACTAGCCTGGCTGATGCCCTGTAAGTGACACGTCATCATCCACATCCAATTTAACGTCTTTGCTACAAATTACAGAATGTTTAATATACGCACATTGTCAGTTCTTAGTAAATCAAACAGAACAAAATTGCAGCCAACAACTGTAATGCCCTTTTTCGAAAATAGACACAGTATGTTGTGGATTCTCTCGTGTATTCAAGTCTCCAAGTTTTGAAAACTTTGAATCTGTCATGCTGTTCAATTTGGCAACATTTTCAAGGGCAGATTAGCAAGTTGTGTACATGGAGCATGCTCCCAGTCCCTGCCCCTTTAATTCTCGTCCCCTTGTATTACTCCTGTTTTTCTTCAAAATTGTACCCCAGAGGAGCCTTAGATTGCAATGAATAAGGTACAGAGGAATTTCACATGTTCAGGGGCTCCTGAAGGTCACACATACCCTATGCAGTAAGGGATGATATTGGTAGAACCCACAGGATAAGGTATATAGATTCACACACATTTTTGTTACCTTATGATTTGGCCCTCAAGGTTGCATCCCTTTATGAAAGCTCTGGACCCCTGATTCTCCTGGTTTCATGAGAAGAGGTTTTAAAGTTTACTGGGTGTGTTTTCATGACCTCTAAACTGAAACTGAAACATGATCAAACATCAGAGTGATAAGCAGGAACATGTTTAATGTGGCCCTGAAAAATGCAGAGGTGGAACTGGTTACATCATCTAATAGAGACGAAGCAGACGACTTGTTGATGAATGTCATTTTTGTGTAGTGCTGTTGCTCGGTCATTTCACAGTTTAGAATAAATCACGTATTTTGCAACAAGAAATTTGAGGATGCTGTCATTGTTTTTTGGAGATGACCAAGAATTGCCTACTAGTTTTCCACCATTTTGACGTTGCGATGAACCAACTCCAGTCTTCCATTCTTGTTTAGTCAGAACAAAACATCACATAGGCATAACCAAAGTTGCTGAACTTCCCAACAGGTGACCTGAGCAGAAACACATTTCTGGCTGTTGCTACAAAAACATGCCACTGGTGACTTGATGGCAGAAATTGATCAGGGACCACTGTTGAAGTAGTTTGCCAATGTTTCATTATAAAGAAATACCTGTGACATGATCGTTATGCTAAATATCATTTTTTGTATATGTCCAGGTTTTACCGTCCTGCTATCCGCTACACCTATGACTCCACTTCCCCTTGGCAGCAAGCCAATTTGAATGTTGTCGTGTCCCAGCCAGATGCTGGTTCTTCATCCTGCCCGGTGGCTGCCAACACCCCCATCTCCTCGTTGGTCATCAGCTTGCCCCCGGGCACGGCAACGGCCTGGTATGCATCGCAGGGAGAATCTCTGATGCTGGATCGGCGGTGCCGATACGACTTCACTCTGACGCTGAGCTCCAGAGGGGCCGGTGCCCAGGAAATCAAGATCGATGGGCTGGTGATCATGCCAGCCCCCAATGCCTTCTCTGTCTACACTCAAGCTGGTGAGATTTCAAATTGAAATGTTGGGCTGTGTTCAAGGTTTAATCTAGTACCATGCATGATGTGCTTTTTTCAAGATGGCAACAAGGTAACTGCCAACCATTTAGTGTGATCTGAGAGCGATGTGCACATAACATTTTCGTGCACCTGATAGTATTGAGAATGCACAGTTTTACAAATGAAACAAGAGTCTATGAGGTAATACATGACACCAGCTGCCATCTCACATCTCTACGATGCCATCTCTATGCTGCCATCTCATCTCTAAAAAATCCTAAATCTACACGTTGACAGAGGTACCTAAAAGTTAACGCATAAAGAGATTTGTATGGAGATCTAAACGAGTATTATCCAACCTTTTCTGACATTTGTGATAGTACAGGGGTCCCTCAACAAATTCAATTCAATATTAATTTATACAATGAATTTGACAGGATCAGGATTTGAACCTCTAGTGCATGAACACATACCAGATAAGTACTAAACCAGAGAATCTATTAAGTAAAATGTAGGCAAAGTCCCACAGAATCTTAACATCATTGCAGATGTTACAGAAATAAGCCCAGTTCTTTGATAAACGTTTGATCTAACCATCATCACTTTCAAGCATTACTTTCCCACATGACTATTGCATATTTTTGCTTTCTGGCAAAAAAAAAAACACATTTGATAAGTACAACTGCTGGATGCCTGTTTTAACTTGGAAGTTTCTTGTATTGCTTGTATAACAACTTTCATGTTATCTTCCAAAGATATACCCACAAAGGAGATTTATACAGCATGCATTAGCAACATGACAGCGATAGCGACGCGGCAGTCTGCCATCGACCAGTGTCGAGCCTTCATGTTTTCTGTGTCAGCTGAGAGCAAAAACGGAGCAGTAGGTAAGTCACTGTCTTGTTTACAAAGATTCAAGCGAAGCACTAGGCAATTTGGAATGTAAATGCGTAACTCCAGAAATTAGGGGTCCCTGTTTTTTGTGTCCCTGTCACATCAAACATATGATTTGAAAGTTCAGAACACATTTTCTAATTTCCAAGAGTGATGAATTAATACAAATTACCTGCCAAACAAGTGGTAATAGTTTGAAATCAATTCCGGTGATATTTCCATGTCAAATAACAAAGGTCAGATGTAAGAGGAACACGAAAATGTCACACTTTGGACCTCTGATTTTTGGAATTACCCAAATCCTTCTGAAATTGGATTGAAAAATAGGTTGAAAAGGGGGACCTCATGGAGTGAAATCTCAATCTATAGGAGTGAGGTCATTCAATTTCGGTCAGAGGGAGTGAAATTTCATTCTTTAAACTTTAAAGAGAAGTCAAAGGCACACTGACCATGTGGACTCCATAGATGAGGAGCCAATGGTGCCTTGAAAGGACATTTTTTACCATTTTAGAGTGAATGTTTATGAGTGTAAACCTAGAGTTTTATGACCCACTGCCTTCTGTTTTGCATCTTCCCATTTCCATTTGTTCCGTATATCGTAATGCTGTAGTGCTTCATTTTTTATCCATTCAGTGAGCTTCTGTGTACATGCATTCTTTGTTCTCCTGCACTCTGTGTAGTCTGTGCCAAACAAACCAAACTTTTTTGTAATTGTTGGGCACAACATTCTTTTATAATTGGTTTGTTAACTGCCCAACACTTCCCAAATGTTAGCCTTCTGAACCAGTTCAGAATGTTAAGTCCAATGGTGCAAGGTTCAGTGTGAACATAGGTACTGCCATCCATGGAATAAAAGGGTGCATTTTAATCCACTGATTTACAAAAGCCATGACTGATAAGGATTAGTGATGCTATGCCTTTGTTAACCAACTTATGGATGACATCTGCCTTTGTTTGCGACTGGACTGGATGCATGGACAGGCCTTGATTTCAGAGAATCAAAAAAGCCACAAAGCCAACTCCCAAAACTGTTCCTTTAATAATTTGGCCAACTGTTTGACAGTTCAAGAACCATTTGTAACATTGTGCCGTAAAAAAGATGCACTTTGAAATAAACGTACTTCTTACATGTTTGCACCCACAACAGCCACAGTTTTTTCCAGTTCTCAAGGATCTTATCCAATTCTTTTTTGTCAGTTTGTGACTGTGATCCAACAGGCACCATTGGCAGTGGATGCAATTCATACGGCGGAGCGTGCACATGCAAGAGTGGCGTTGGTGGACGCCGCTGTGATCGTTGCCTGCCAGGATTCTTCGGCTTCTCAGCTGAGGGCTGCACATGTGAGAAAAACACTGTTCATGTTCCCTAAAAGCGTGTGAAACATTTTGTTACAACATGTGCTCCTTCCAATCGCAACAGTTGAATTTTAAAACAGCCAGAGGTCAACACTTTAAATAATGCCTAAATCAGTCGCAAATGCGACCAAATTTTTGCCAATGCAATCATATTTTGGCCATAGAGTCATCATTTGTGACTTACGATAGCTTCAAAACGACATACAAAATGCACTTGAACAATTTTGAGTATGCATAAAAATCAAAATAGCAATGATTATGTACTCAAAATTCATTCTGGAAATGTATAAATGGCAGCGCAAATCGCATCATTAATTTAAAACTTACCACGTGCACTGTACATGTTCATGCACTCTACACGTATTGCTATCCCACGCACGATCTGCATGGGGTAACGGTACGAGTCAGTGTTGTTTGGTTCACGATCTAAACATACATTGTTGATACACTGTATACGGACACCAGGGCTGTTTTATATGTTATGGTGTGGGCTCCATTTTTTGCTGCTTTTTTGCTGCAACGTAAATGAAGCCTGAAGCGGAGCTCCTGCTGGAATTAAAGGGTGTTGCCGTGATTTAGAGTGTCTGAAATAGCGGAATACATGCAGCAGGGTGTCCTGCAACACGCTGAAACCACGGACGTTATGACATCCGTGGCTGAACCCCATGGCAAGAAGCCTGATTTCATGGATTAACCTCATTGGCGTTCCTATATGCACATTATGTGGTGTACGTGTGTCGGGCCTGGTTATGATTATAAATTATTGATGCTGCCTTTTTTGCTGGCGACAATATTTCTCCATTTAGGGGTCAATTGATTACTAAACTTTCATGGAAGTGCTAGCGCCTAGATTAGCCAATGGCTACCAAGTTATTTTTCTCTGTTTAAAGGGTTAGCAGAGGTAGAATTCAGTTGAATTTAATTGAAAAGCAACATTTACTTCCATACTTCAAATAAGTAGATCAAATATAAATCCAAATGAAATAAGGCCATAATAGAAATAATTATAATAGTGCTTGTCTGAAATTATGAACAAGAATCCACCCTTTTCGACATTTTCTCCAATAGAAGGAGGGATCCAGAGCCAAATTTTGGAGGAGCTAAACTAGTTTTTTAGGGGCCTAAACTTTTCAAGAGTTTTCCATGGTTCCTTTTTTAAGGTCTTTAAGAGGGGTACAGTCCTTGTGATTTGGAAATTGTAGGCGTGTGAAAAAAAAAGAGATTCTTTTCGTTTCATTTTTCTCACAGATGGCAAAATATATTTATAAAGTATAATTATAAAGTAAACTCATGCCCAGGAGTTTGGATGGTTCGGACGTGCAATTATTCGCACTTGTCGGGAAGCTTTTAGGCGTGTGATGGTGTGGGAGTGCAATCGCATGCCTTAAAATGAAAGGACTGGGGGCGTAGCTACATTTAGGGCTTTTTATGCGCTTACACAAGGTTTTTTCCTCTGCCGAATCTACATATTTTCCAATGATATCGCGCAGTCATTTTGACACCAATTTGCGAAAAAATGGACACTACCCAAAATGTATACATGTACCTTCCTATTGACATGCAGAAAAGCAGACAGGCCAGCATGCGTGAGGCCATGAACTTCAAATGACTATAACAACAAAATCCTCCCTCAGATCTAATTGTAACCTGACAGATAATGAGTAATGAGTATCAATATGAGTTTTTAGGGCTTTGAGATCTGAAAAACCTTACACTTCGAGTTTAAAGCATTCAGTTTCAAGAGAACATTAAAACAACTTCTCAGTTTTGTGGCTTTTGGTTCATTAGTATTTTCTCTCTCTGCCATAACTGTTTTAGATTTTAGAAAAGTTGTCTGATAAATACCTTCATGTAACTAAAGAGAATAGTAAAACGTTCCAAAAATTTAAAAGTGTTTAGTGATCAATGCACAAGAGTACACAAGAAAGTATGAAAAGTATACACCTTGTTTTGTCAAATCCATAATCTATCTAATGAGGGAATCAACCTGGGGGAAGGGGCAGAGAAGGAAGCCTTTGAGTATAGAATTGAAGTTTTGACCATTTGATTCTGGTGGAATAATGTGCATGGATTTATGGGAGAAAACATTTTTATTCCGGTTCTGAGCAGCTTGCAACTGTGACGTGACGGGATCGCTTAGCCTGGCCTGTGACTTTGGCTCTGGCCAGTGCCCGTGCAAATCTGGTGTGGCACCGAATGGTCAACTGAATGACCAAGGCAACAGTGCCAGTCGGCATTGCCGAAGCTGCTTGGCCAACTACTACGGGTTCAGCACAGGCGGGGGATGCCTTGCGTGCAACTGCAACCCAGAGGGGTCATCCACCTTGCAGTGCTCGGAGACTGGTGTGTGTCCGTGCAAACAGACCATCTCGGGGAACCAATGCAGTAACTGCTTGCCGGGATACTACTCATTCTCAGCGAATGGCTGCACGTAAGCCTGAAACAATTTCATTTAGATGTTAATCCCTCCAATGGGAATCATTGCTCATCATTTTCATTGCATGGGCAGTGTATGATGATATATGGAGTAATGTAGGGTAGTTTAGGTCAGTACACTGGCGAGTAAATAGTGTTGGTTGTATTTCCTGTATTTTCACTACATTTGTCCAGAAAGTTATCTGATCTGTGTCCAGCCTCAGTGTGGATGTCAGTGACATCCAGCTAGGGGTGGAGATGGGGGGAAAGTAATGTTACTTTTGTTTAGTGAGCGAAAGTGCCAGCATATTAGAAACTGTGAGTTACCACTATCTTTCGGGGGAGGGGGAGAGGAGGATTTTCCACAGAATTCCATTCCCCCCACCTTGATATGCGACTGATGGATGTCTTAACCACTTGACCTTGATATTCACAGGGGTCAAATGGATTCTAATTGAAATTCCCATTGTTCTTCTTCTTGTTTCAAAAAGGCCATGCAACTGCAACCCCGCAGGTTCGACCAGTACAAGCTGCCATCCTGACCAGGGCACCTGTGCCTGCAAGCCCAATGCCCAGGGCCCCAAGTGTAGCCAGTGCCAGCCGGGCTACTTCAACCTGCAGCCGACCAATCCTGACGGCTGTCAGCCTTGCTTCTGCTATGGCCACGGCAGCCAATGCAACGCGGCACCAGGCTACATTGCCTCCAGCATCGCAGACGATTTCACTGCCCAGGGGTAAGCAGTCTCTTGTGAATGTAGTCGGTTATAAATGTGGTTGATCATTGTACATGTGTGGATTAATTCAAATAACACCCTTACACAGTCTTTGTCCTTGGTGTTTTAACTGTAGCGCTCTGCTAAATTACTAAAGTTCTAACTCTTCAATCCCCACATGGACAAGTTTTGACACCATCTTAATCACGTTTTTAATTCATGTGCATATTTGTAGAACATAAAGAAAAAAAAGACAGACCAACTTCCAAATGAAGTACTTGAAATACGTTGCTCAAGTACATGATATGCAAATAACATGTATTAAAAGTATATTTTCTATCAGTAGTGTGATGATTGTAAAAGCCTCAGCCTTATTTATCTGTAAATGCACCTTGCTGGCATTTGCGTTGTTTACACCGAGAACAACAAAATAAAATGCTTAATCACTGAAAGCATTGATTTCCTGTGAGGCATTATAATTAAGCAGTGAATTCATGCCAAGTTAAGCATTGTATAGTTGAAGGCCTGGACTCCCAGCTTTTCCCTTACTTAACATTTCCAATAATCAGAATCACTGCCCTTTTCACTCTACTTATTCAAAATTATTTTCTACAAAAGTTGGGTGCTTTGGAATTATTATTTCACAAACTAAGCACCCTTAAAAGTCACTAGGTACAATGTACTTTGCTTCCAATTTGTCTGTTTCCCTTTTAACTCCGGCTAAATTTAAGGTAATTACAGTCATTTGCAAAAGTTTAAGACCACCTTGAATTTTATTGGTATTTCTGTCACTGGGCCGGCATTACACTGTCTCACTGAATGATTACTTAACATGATTTTACAGTGGTGCATAGCATCAGTGTAGTGCTATATACCCAATTGAAAGAAATTTTTTGCAAAGGCAGTTCTTGTATGACATTTTGTCTGCAAGGCAGCATGAGTAAAAAAAAAACAGTCTAAGCAATCAGAAATAAGGGAGGGCACACTGAACATTAGACTGTTAACATGTCAAATCATGGAAATGTAGTCAAAAATGTTCAACCAAGGTACCAAGGTTACACATCGAAAATAAACATAAGTTGCCATGATTGATTGGTTTAAGTTTGGTTTTCCTTCAGGTTAATGCATTTTCTATGGGTGGTCCTAAACTTTTGCAAATGAATGTAATAGACCATTCTGATATTGCCTATTGCTTTCTGGAATTGCCTACTAGTTGCAAGGGCAGCCAAACTCTGCAGAAAGTTCACTCTTGGTTGGTGACAGAGTTTGTTTCAACATGCGCATTTTCCTCATTACATTCAGAATGGGAGTTCTAGGATTGAGTAGTGTAGTGTTTTGCCAGCTGTGTGAGATTTTTTTCTAACACTTGTGCATTATCGTGAATTATTCTTTTGCTCTTTGATAACCAGCCATAGTTTGCGAACCACAAGTAGGCAAAACTGTGACTGTAATGTAGAAAGTTACAAGTCTCTTCTTTTCAAGTGAATTTTATGTGCTTGAGTCAACTCTGTCGCTTGCTCCAGGCATTGGAGATCCACATCCTAACAACAATAGATGATTTTGATTCTAATGTTTTTGCGGATGGGAGGGGGCAGCTGCTTGCCAGGGGAGGGCCTTCCCCCCTTGGCGACTGGCTTGGATTGATTAACTCGTGCTATGAAGTGTTGGTAGTTCAGCCTCAGTTGTACTTGTCCCCTTTCCTCACTCCCCACCTGCTATAAATCATACAGCCACCTTCCAACCTGCCTCCGTCCGACTGACCCCCCTCCAACCACTCGCCCGCCAACCATTATCATTCCATCAACCTTGCCTCCCACACCGTCGTCCATCCCCCCTACCAGTCCATGCCCAACCACACCCCCTCCCTGCCTCCCTCCCCTCCCGCCGTGCCTTTGCTTCAGTCGTCACTCCACGCAATCTCAACGCTCCAACTCATGTAAAAGTTCCAGGAGTTGGAGTGCCACAGAGCCTACGGCCCTGATGGTCAACCCAGACAACATGAGAGTCGTTCACCCCGCGGCGTCTCCCAGCACCTCCTACATCTACCTGCTGGTTCCCAGGGAGTACCTCGGCTCACACCTGGACCTTTACAGTCAGACATTCGCCTACACCATGAAGCTGGACATGGGGTCAGTGGACAACACCACGAGCCAATACTTGATCATCACAGGGGGACGGAGCAACATGGCTGTGTATTACAGCGCCGAGGTGTTCACTCCCATGCCAACGGAGAGGCGGTTTGAGGCTATATTTTATGAGTCCAACTGGCAAGTGGTAGGTTTTGAGAGGGCACCCACGGTCAGTGAGTTTCAAGGTTAGTTTCCCCATTGTATCATAAATCTGAAACAATTCATAATATCAGTCAGGAGGCCAAATTTTTATCAAATTTGCATTTTGAGCAGTGCTGACGTTGTGAACAATAGATATTTCCATCTGTCAAATTTATTGAAAAAATCACATATTCAGTGAGGATAAATGCAGATACATGCTAACTTGGCATGTAATGCGATGTGCACAATTAATGCGCCTCCACTCAGGCTGATTGCCCACAATTTTTATCTCCACAGTTTTGCTCATTACCAGCAATTTATGCCTTTATATATCTGGTTTTATGCCACATAATTGTACTCTTTGTTATGGTTTGTCAGAGATCCTGAGTGACATTGCCAGCATCCAAATTCGTGCCTCATTTGGCAACGGCACAGCCAGCACGTTCTACAGTGTTTCCATGGATACGGCCAAGTACATGCCAACTCCAGGAAGCTCCACCAGTTTTGTGACTACGGTAGAGCAGTGCACATGCCGTGTATCGACAAACACTATGGGTAAGATAACGTTTTTTCTGGAGTATTTACTGTCAGGGTATGGAAGTTTCATAAAAAGGATTCCATTTTTATTGTACCAGATTTATTTTCTGCTTTTTCTTTCTGCTGGTTTTTTTTTGGGGGGATATGCAGTTTTTCTTAATACTGCTGGATAACTCCTTGAAAAAGTCCCATTTTATCCCATACGTTAAGCCATGTTTTTTTTTCAATTACACAAGCAACACAGTGACTAGGAATGTAACAATACTTGTGGGTATTCTCCATCCTGATTGCAAACAAAAGAATGAAAAACACTGATATCCATGAATGTATTCAAGGGTAAATTGCCCATTTTGCTGGGACACAACATGCCTTAAATTGTGGACTTGCACTTCTCTTGCTGGTTTATGGTAATGCTCATCACAAAACCAAGTAGGATAATCCTTTTCCCACCATTGTGTGTAACTCCAAATATTTTGGAAAAGGATATATTTATAGTCTTAAGTGCCAACTTGTGATAGTTCCGACCACTGGCAGCAGAAGGGGGGGGGCAGTGGCCCCCCACTTTTCCACCTTGGGGGTATGGCCTCCAAACTTTTTGCAGGGCTTATAATGGGGCAGGGCTTCATGGATTGGCCTATTAATGGCTGATGCCTGATGGTCTAACAACTGCCCCCCTCCCACTTCCAAAATCGTTCTGCTGCAGCTGGTTCTTACCAGTAGTGTAACTGGGGTACATTTTGCAGGGGACCCTCATTTTCTGGAGGCTGGGTGGGGGTACAGGCATGGAGGAGGGCCTGTGCCTACCCCAATCCTCCCCCAGTTACGGCTCTTACTACCAATGCAGAACATGTTGGATTCCTGTAATTCTTTTCATTGACTTGAAGGCCTCTCATGCGATCAATGCCAGCCCGGGACATACCGGCAGAATTCAATGGACACGCCTTTCGATGCGTGCCTGCCTTGCAACTGCAGCGGCCGGGCCAACACGTGCAACACCGTGACGGGCGTGTGCCAGGGCTGCCAGCTGGGCACGGTGGGGGACCACTGCGAGAGCTGTGCGGCCAATGTGCAGGAGCCACTGTGCGACGCTTGTCTGGCTGACCACTACGGGTTTGGGACTGAACTGTTTGGGGGTGCATGCTCGCGTAAGTTATGTCACTCCTGAGTCCATTTTGTGGAGACCTTTTGTATTGACTGTTGTAGTGTACTCATGTATGTAAGAAAAAATTTTTTATCAAATTAAAATTGTAGTTTATTTCTTCTCTACTGGTTACGGGGTGTTGGTATTTTTCTATTTCCTTAAAAAAGTCGTACTAATATGGCGGTGCATATCTTCAGGTAGATATGTTCAGTTGATCAGGGAATATATGATTAACCTCCGTGCTCTGGAACAGGGCAGCTGAATTTAAATCATTTTCAGGTTTGGAGGTTTAAATTAGAGAGGTTTCAAAAAGTATTCATATTTTGTGAGGAAGCCACCTACATGTATCTTCTTCAACACAAACTGTGAAGTAGTTCCCAGTGGTGATGGAGTGGACAGGGAATCTCCACACTAGAATGATCAAGTGTCAGTATCTAAAATCAAATTACTCGAAATTCTTATGATATCTTGCTATATCTCCAGCTTGCAACTGCAATGTGACAGGCACCGGTGGTGCCACACAGTGTAACATGCAGACCGGCCGGTGTCCCTGCACAGGCAACTATGGTGGGATGCTATGTGATGCCTGCCAGCTCAACTACTACAACTACTTCCTGGGCTGCCTGGGTAAGTTTGCAAAGTCTGTGTTTGGCAAGGGCTGTAGGTGGTATCAAACATGGCATCCTAAAGTAAACAGTACTTTAAAATATAGCACTCACAGAAACTTTGCAGCTATTAAAGTGCACAGAGCTAACTGGTATATCTTGTATGGACAATGGTTTGCTCTTCTGTAGCAAGCGTTTGATTGCTCAACCTACTGCAATATTGAGGGCACATTCATAGCTCAACGCACATGTGTGTTGGCATATCCTGTACACTTTGATTATTGATGGTATGCATACAGGCCTCAAATTTCCCGACGGCCACAACGGCAATGGCTGTTGGTCCCCTCCCATTTGGCCATGGTGCCTCCAAAAAGTGATGGTGTTTCACCGCCAAGATGGCAGTGCCCTTTTTTTCTTTTGGCCGTAGTGCCCTACATGTGCATATTGACTGCCCCCGTTTAGCGAGGTACACAGAAAGCGGCATGGAAACCAGCACACACATCGTTCCTTGATTGCTCACATTGGACCAGAACACTGTGCCAGGCCACCCAAATGCATGGCATGCATGCACATGCAGTGTGTGCATGCACCATGTGTATATGGGGATATTGTACATGTACACTCGGCCCGCCGCACACCGGCGGGCCGGCCTGCTCCATACACACTGCACGGTCGCAAGTGCGACACCTGCCAGCCTATCCAATGACTAAACATAACAGTGCATGCCCAAGCCAAGCATTTTATTGTACCATGCAGTAGTGTTAGTCTGGCAGTAAGTGCTCATCAATGTGTACACATCGAGAGCTCCACGTTTTTCATGCACATGGGACAATTGTATGGTCGTGGCAGTATTTTTACTAACACCACAATGTAGTGTTTGCAGTCTAGTGCCACGTACCGCGTGCGATCTGAACTGCACACACACGGCATCTGTCAATCAGGACTACTCTGATTCTCACGTACGTTGTGTGCAAAATCACTGGCTTGGCCAGTTTTTGTAGCAGGCAAAATGCCGAGGAAAGAACGGCTGCAGTCAATTCGGGCCGAAGCCTTTCAACACTTGGCTGCTGGTTTGGCACTAATCACGGACATGTTCAGGTATAATGCGTATCCTACTTTTTCTTAGGCCTGAATGAATATTGATTTTCATGCAATATAAAAAAAACTGGATGGCATTAATGCCGATATTACTTTGGTACGGTGATGGCATTAATGCCCTCATGTTTGGCATTAGTGCCCTTAATTTCAGCCAGTCCACCAATGCCAAATGGCGGTGCCCTAAAAAAATGAAATTCGAGGTCTGTGCATATGGATGTAAATAGTACTGCATTCTAGCATTTGCCCTTGATTTGATCCAACCAGGCAACCATAAGATATCTAGTAGTTGAGTTGTTGAGTTGCTTGTTTCAGTCTTAAGAAAAAAGAGTATCGCTGGCTGTAGAGTGTCGCTAACAGGGTATCCACAGTTTGATATACTCTTTGCACTGTGTGCTCGGTGATCATTCTTTTCACATGGCATTGAACCACAGGAAAACCATTCAGTGCAATCCCTGCATACCTGCTGGAACTTCAAGATGAAGATATTGGTATTATTTGTCAACATTTCTCCTTGTTGTCCTCTCCCCCGTAGGCTGCGACATGTGTTATGACAGTATCTCCACTGAGCATACCGACCTCGTCAGCAGGTCAACTAACCTGACCAGTTTCATCGGCATGCTAAGGGCAGCTGATATGTCCGCTGCACTGGGACCATTCTACAATCGCTTGATGGTGACCTACAACCAAACACTGCAGCTTGTTGAAACGGTATCTGAACTTTGTAGGAAATTGAAACAATACTTTTCCTTGTCATATGAAGATGCATTGCACTGGACAAACCACTTACAGTGTTCTTGAGTTTGCAGGTTCAAATGTCAAGTAAGCCAAATTCTGTTATCATCTTGATAATTACTATGCATGCACATTGTCAGCATTCTTTATATCATTTATTTAACAAACACACCAGATTGACATCTTTGGTTAAATCTTTTGCACAGTTTGACCTAAAGTATTGTAATTATTAGGCATTTATAAAAGTGAAAGTAAGGATTCCTTCAAAGCCCTGAACACTGTAGCTGCCAAGGGTGAAGAAACCTGTAGAGAGGAGACAGCGACAAGTAGTTACAGTTTTAGAGGTGGATAGAAAACCTGTGAAGAATGTTTTGGGTAACACCCACAGAATCAGATAGGGACTGTAAACCCATCCCATTTGTAGACCAATTGAACCCCGGCCATGGAGGTAAACAGTGAGGAATCTCTACACCAGCACAACACACTGAAGATTTTCTTTTTCAGAAACCAATAAACTGCTTCTTGTCCCTTCAGACTAATTCCGTCATCCGTGAAGGCGACAACCTGACCAGCCTTGTAGCTTCCCTGAACACTACCATGCACCAGCTGCTGGCTAGCCTGAGAGGTTCCATCCAGTCAGGGGTAGAGTCAGCGGACCAGAGCCTGGTGTCGGCAAACGAGCTTGTGGGTCAATCTCTGGGGGCCATTGTGGGTGTAGAGCAGGCTTTGGCTGGGGCCCACCATGGACTGACAAGCGGTGAGCCACTGGAAAAATATTGCTTGCTAAGGGCGTGTCCGAATCACTTGGCTGCGGCTTGAAATTCCACACAAATTTGTGACAATGGTTGCAGATAATTCCCATATGCATGTTGAGGTACAAAGTGTATACGTCACACGCACACTAGAACCAGCATGTGAACCAACATTCGTGTGTACTCCATTTGTTTGCACTACACTTAACTGGTTCAAAATGATGTCACATTTCAAGCCACATCATTATGATATGGCTTATCTTTGCTTTGCTTATTTTTACATTCTGACAATACATTCTGACAATGTGACAAAATTTACAAGTCAAGAAGAAGAAACATAGTTGAGTCAACCTTCAAAAGAGGAGTTTGGAAGACGGCCAGCAGCCAGCCTTACAATACTCCATGCATCCTTTGCTCCATGCATAACCTTTGTGTAACGAATTAGTGATATAGCTGTGCAGTGTACGGTATTGTTGATGTATGAAAGTTTTCATGGCTGCATATGTTTAATATTTGCTAACTTGTACCAATTTCATTTTGTGTTACTGAATGTAACATGTTTCCCTGCCCCTCTTCAATTCATGAATTCATTAGCCAGCAAACTGGCTGGATTGTTCCTGGGAACAGAAGACATTTTGTTAATTCAGCCTGAGTTGAATATTTTATAAGATATAGTTTTTAAATTGAGGAGATGTGAATATATGGTATTTTGCACTTAACCAACGTAATTGTCAGAAACCGTCTAAAACCCTGAGTAAATGTACTTACAAATAAATATTGGTTAAGGGCAAATGACCCTCTATTGCGCAATATTTCTTTATGGTCAAAAGGTTCAGGACAAAATATCCTCTACTGTAATGTCTATCTTAATGGTTGAAAGGTTGCAGAAATATAATATTCTCAGTGTATTCATTCTTTAAGCCTAGCGCTTTTGCGATGCAAATTTAAACTAATGAATTCCCCCCCCCGATCATTTGGGATCTGAAATTGTCTCTTTATTGTCATTACTTGAAATTGTCATCTTTATCCTTTCTTCCCTTTTCTACTTCCAGGTGACATTCAGTCAACACGGTCCATGCTGAGCCAGCTCACGATGGACCTGGTGTCCATACAGACCCAGCTGACTAACCTGTCTGCCTCAGTCGAATCGCAAGAAGCTGCGCTAACTCAGAATGCCACCAACCTGATAGAAATTGCTGATACCATGCTACGGACTGCAGATGGGGCTCTCATGGTATTTGATGTTAATTTTACCTTGGGAAAGATCAGTATCAGTCACATGAACAGATACAGTATAGATTAACAATGTGAATACATCACATACACAGTTAAGTGTGCAAAAGGCATTAGAGCAAGAACCAACATACATGAACCAACACGTATACGTATTCCATTCATTTACACTACACTTCCTGGTTTAAACTAGCGTCACACTTTGATAGTGTAAAGTGGAGCACGAACAAGCCACTGTTTGAATGGCACATGCTTGGCCAGCTCAACTTTTTATCCTAGGGACGTTTCCTTCAGCTCTTTTTTTGCAAAGTCATGGCCAGATGAAATTTCCATCGATGATTTTGTAGCCATATGACCAGAACTATGAAAACAATTGCTTGTAGCTATTTTGGTTTTAAAAATTAGAAAATCTCTCATGGAAACAATGCCAGCTTGGAACAATACTTGTCGAATTCAGTGAATCTTATTTAGGATGTATTTCTGAAACCATTCCTTTTAATCTGAGTCTTTTTCAAGAAGATTCTTTCGTTTGTTAATTTTTATTCGTATGATTTAAAATTATTACTGAAAACATTGTGTTTGTAGTCTGAAGTCAAAATTGCCACACTGCATACATGTATATCATAAGGATTGCTGTGCATAAATCAAAGTACTCTTGGAATTAGACCTGAACCCATTTAAATGGATACATTTTTTCCAGATGGCCCAGCAAGCCCAGGTCACCCATGACAACACCACCACCAAGACTGCCGCGTTGGTCACCAAGGCTAACCAGGTCACTGACCTGGGTCAGAGGACACAGCAGGCTGTGTCAGAGGTCGCACAGAGGGCTCAAGCAGCCAGCTCCGCGAGAGAGGATGGGAGGGGGGCAGAGCTGTCAGCCAGGATTGGGGAGCTTGCCACCGAAATCGTTGGAGTGATAGAGACCGCTCTGACAAAGAACAGCGAGGCAGCTGCAGTTGAAGTACAGGTACATATCCATTGGCAAAAATATCATCTAAAAAAATATTTGCCAAGAAAAGCATGGGCACCTTAGACTGAAAGTCAACTGAGGCCATGTCCAAAATGAGCCTCAAGAGCTACATCTTTTGTCAGCGTGTCCCTATGTATTTCCAATGAAGAGAACATCTAGACCTAGCTCTAGACCACCTATTTAAATGCAGCCTCAGTCTCAATTTTTAAAAACTGTGACCAGTGTGAAAGTTGATTCTAATCATGTATAAAAGGCCCTATCATAAAAAAGTTTCAATGAAATTGTCATTTACTTTCATATTCAGTCCATGCATTACTATTTCCCAGATGTTTGGGGGTTTTTATGCAAATGTATTGAATTTCTACATTCACAAACAATAAATAAGCCATTTAAGGGGCTCCAGTGTGTTTTCCCCATGATCAATTCCTTTCTATGTTTCTGTGTTGATTTTGTATGTTACACATTGTCAGTGACATTACAAACTAACACACAGATCCAGGTTTGGTACATTTAGTGAAAACAGCAAAATAAACTATTGCGATTTCACAAACTGACATGAAGTGTGGGTGCACCATGTGATCTGAAGATATGGGTTTCACAAAGTTTAACATAAGAATGCTTTAGATGAACGATTTCGAGAAAATTATATATAAATGCCTGACAGGAATTCTCCATAAGTAGGCCGATACTTGTAAAATATTGTAGCATTTACCTAAAAATCATTCTTACTTGGGAAATTAACAAAGGTTGTATTGCGTGAAAATTGTTGTGAGACCTATGCATGTTTGTTTGTGAAAAATGACAATTATTGGAAATGTAAATTCTCCACGTAAGGCCCATGCACACACACCTGTGAGTTAGTTCATGAAAAGTAAAATCACAGGAATTGTATATTCCCTGTGTAAGGTACATGTACCACTTTGCCGAAGGTCATGATGACGCTTATGATATCAGCAGACTTTTTATGCCAGACTTTTCAATAAGCCATGTTTGGGATTTAGAATTTGTGTGGGAAAATCTGTTTTAATATACAAAGTACAAATAAAAAATTTCAGATTGTCCATTTCCAATATGACCTTTGACCTTGCAGGCTGGAGTCCAAGAGGCCAATAACAGCCACATAATCACAGAGGTTGCAGAGGCAAGAGCCCAAACTGCCAGCCTGGTTACTGATTCTAATACAACCATCACTGATGTCAATGCACGCTATGGCCGGGCCTCGGCAGCCAACCAATCAGCAAGTGAGGCTGTGGCAACTTCAGAAACATCGTTCAGTGCTGCGGAGGAGATGAGAACGATTGTGCAGAGTTTTGACAGCCAATCAACAGGTTAGCAAGAGTTTGGAAGAGAATCCATTCAAAAAGTGATGCTGATTTCAGTTATTTATTTAAACATAGATCAATGATTCAGTGCAGTGTTTCAAAAAGATAAGGTCATTCGAGAACAAAAGTACACATGTGATATTGTCATGCTGATTGACAGACCTTGCTTGTGGTTTGCTATTTCTAATACCTTGGATGCACTTTGGGAATGCACTGTTGAAATACTGAACCTGCTCTTTCATGCAGGGGTAGATCCTGAGATACTGAAGCCCATCGTAAGGTATCATTTGTGATGGCATGGTTGGACTGGGTAGGTCGCAAGCATTAATAATGGACAAGCAACTGTAGCTTGAAGCAGGATGACCTTGTTGGCCCTTAAGATGTTGTTTGGCAGGGTAGCTGGATTGAACTTTTGACTTTTTAGCTAGTTGACCCTTCTGAGTTGCCGCAGGATTTTTCTTTCTTTTTGTTTGCGGCTGTTGAGCAGTGGTGTGTTTTTTTAGCTGGTTGACATTGTTGGCCAATTAGATGTCCTTTGGCTGGCCGGCTCTGTCGAATTTTTGACTTTTTGGCTGGTTGGCCTTTCTGAGTTGCCGCAGGATTTTTCTTACCTTCTTTCTTCTGTTGAGCTGTGGAGTATTTTGGGGTTACTGCCTGATGTTCAGCTCTCTTAGCAAGATGAACTTGTTTAGCTGCACAAGTCTGGTGAAGGACGCGATTTTGGTGCGCCTGTCTGGCTTGTAGCTGCATAAGCTCAGTGAGCGACACAATCCTGGTGGCCCTGTCTTGGTTGTTTAGCTGCATGAGCTTGTTGAGCAACATAATTTTGATGGGCTTGTCTGGCTTGGCAGGTGTATTGAGCCGATTTATGTGGCGTGGTGTGGTGAGTATACTGTACTCGTAGACTCTGCAATCTCTGTGTCTTTTGGGGCAGGGTGCGCAGAGATTGTAACCCTATAGTGTACAGTGATATGTTGATGCTTCCCTATACATTCAACTGAAATGCTGTATGTTTACATACATGTAGTCATGTTTTGCTGTGCAATCGAGAGGATGGCGCAAATCCATACTTGAAAAACTTTGTGTTCCCTATACTGCTCCTGCAATGCGACACTCTTCCATAAACTTTTAAACCACAGGGACATAAGACTGAGAACAGCAGACTGATCACCAAGGTCAGGGAAGCATCTGACATCTCTGTGTTCTACAAACACAGGGAATGTATGTGTGCTTCTGTCTTCTTCTTTTTTTGGCTCTGGTTCCTACTCTCAATTTGCACTTTCCCTCTTGAAAACATGGACTCTGATTTGGCCGGGGAATTTAAAGTACAGGGTATCTTTGCACATGTACATGTACACAATTAAATTACTGTACATATTAATTTACATTTATTCCTGTAATAAAAGTAAGCAAAGAGTTTTCATTGGTTAAATTTACATCTGGACAAAATTCTAAACTCAAAGACAATTTTCAGTGTTAAGAAATTAGGTTCCCCTTCCTCTTTTGAGACCTCTTATTAAAAATGTTTGCTTCACAGTCCCGATATCTAGGTTTGTGCCGGATAATCAATTGATTATCAAATTATTTTGGGTGATGGAGTAGAGCTTGACACACAACAAATGACTGAGTTTGCCAATTGCAGTGTGCTGTTCTTTATTTGTCAAGTATAATGCAGGGACAGTGCATGTTTACCCTATCAGGTTTATACTTGGTTAAAATAATGGACAGTAAATCAAGCCAGCCTCTGATCTATTGGTTCTCCTTTTTTGTGAGCAGAATAAACAAACTGTTACATTATATTATCTTTCTGTGTCTGCCACCATTTTCACAGATGCTCAAACAGCTGCAGATACAGCCCTGTTAAAAGAGCCAGGTATTCAAACATTAACCATGGAAACTGTTGCCTCGGCAACCGAGCTGAGGGGTCAGCTGACAGACATATCCACAAATGCCCAGGAGGGGCTGAGCAAGGCTAATGCAGCATCCCAGACAGCCCAAGCTGAAGGACAGGTATAGTGAATGAATTATGCTCCATTGGCACTAGATTGTGGCTCAGGGAGTTCTCGGTCTTCAAATGGTGCCAACAAAAACTTGCCAAGTGGGATTCACAATGTAGTGTTCTGATATTAGATTACCAGAAAATGACCACTTTTTTACATTGCATTATGGGAAAAGACAGCATTTACAGCCAACATTATATCTTTTGCACCAGGACTCAGCAATGCTTGCAATTTTTTTCAAAATTTTGGTTTGAATTTTTATGTGTGAGTCAAATCTACTGACTATTTAAAGGGCCCCAATTTTTTTTTTAGTCTTCTTTTTTTATTAGTTTTTTGCTTTGTAGGACAAATTGGCATAAACAAAAAAAGATCAGATCATGAACTAAAGGAAAACACGTGATGGTACATTTTGTTGGGAGTTTGTTTTGATTTGCTCCTAGTGGACAACTTTAATACCTCTGTGGAGTCAATTAAAAGGAAAGTTGATGGTCAAATGAAGCCATCGTTCTTTTCACTCTTCAACCTGTTAGCCTACTGGTTGGCTTGGACATTTTATTTTGACATACTGAAAGTGTAACCACTTCGCACCAGGGAGCCCAGTTTCGGGTTCGTTTTCTTTATACCTAATGCTGGGCTGCCTGAAATTGAACAAAAAAGCTGGGCCGTGTAACAAAAGACCATACTCTGAATAAAAGACCGAGCTGCTTGGAATTTCCAACATTTTTTCAGTTGTCAATAGTGCATGAAATCCGTCATTGTTTTGAAAGATTATACCACTGTTTGTGGCATTCAGTGCAGGCAGATTACCAACGGGTACAAAAGCGATCAAGTGCTGCACGCTAATCTGGCCCCTATTTAAAAGACATCAGCAGTGCACTGTGGTGATTTCGGAAATTACATAACACTACTCAATCTGGGCTCTTTTTACAAGGTGGCAGGCCTGTCTGAAATATTCTGGTGTCAATAGATATTGTCTGTCAGATTAGAGTAGCCACCAGACAGTCATTCGTGTGGGTGTACACGTTTAGTAAATGAAGTTATGAATTTTAAAGAATTTTGAAAAATGAAAAATCACCCAGCCCAGCAGAATCAATGTGGATAAATGGGCCCGGCGCAAAGTGGTTAAGAAGTGAGTTTGTTCGGATCTTTTCAGAGCATCAGCTCAGTAAACCAAAGGGCAATCCAGTTGGCCAGGGAGTCTGCCATCAAGCTGCAAGACACCAATCAGACATCAGAGTCTGTCCGTGCCATCAACACAACCCAGCTCCAACCAGCCAGGACAAGCTGCGACATTTACGCCCCAGGCCTCCAGGGCCTGGAGAGTACGGTAACACAGGCCAACGCCGAGGCACAGACCACCACGGACCAGGTGCTGGTCTCCCAGGCGACGGTCAACCGGCTCCTGGTGGAGGTAGAGACCATTCAGCAGGCCAATCTGTCAGACCTGCCTGGTCTGATGGAGAGGATCCGACAGGCAAGGTTGGCATTCACGCAAGGGGACTTTGCACAACTGGTCACGGCATTGTCACGGTCGGTGCAGGAGCAGCAGGCCTGGCTCGATGCCACGCAGGAGCAAGCAACAGAGATTGAAGCACAAATCAACACCCTGGAGAGTTTTAGAGTTACATAGTTATTGCAGTTTTTTGAAATTGTTGTCGGCCCGAAATGTTCCTGTGAATGTGTACAAACCAGTTTGAATTTGTGTGTTAAAACTTGTATGTAAAATTGGTCACAGGTTCCCATGGGCCCCTAATGGAAGTCACATCTTTCACTGATGAAGGTAAAGTTACAAGCGGTACAGTTACAAATGTCTGGTGAATTTTTTTAATTTTCTGATTGACTGTCATCAAGGGCGGAGTTGGGGAGGGAAACAAAGGAATCACTGTTGTCATAGTTGATTCCACCCCCCCCAGCTGATAAACACAGTGAGATCGTGTCTCTACAAATCCTACGTTTTACCACAGAACATCTTGAACCTGAAATGTTTAGGGTGCCTTTTATAGCAGGCTGTAGACCCCAATGGCATTAAGGGCTTCATTCTGTGCACTCACATAAACCCATGGAACACACTGGAACTAGGCTCTCAAAATTGGTGCCTACCCCTTTCTCAAAAGGTTAGATCCACCTCTGATTTAACCTTGATTTTATTGGCATAGTTCACCAGACTCTCAAGAAGTTTAGCTTTTCCTAATGAAATATCTATTATTTTTTACTTTAAAAAAATTCCTCATACAAGAATTCCACCAAGTTCAGAGTGCTACACAAGTAACTGTAATTGTGTTTTTAAGTTTTCCTTCAAAATTAGCCAGCTTGTCTCGAAATGAAATATGGTTTTAATCATTTACCCAGATCACAGTAATTGTATATTGAGATAGTCGTCCAGTACTACTAATTTATAAGTATCTTAATTTTGTGTCAGTAATTTAACTCTTTTCAGATGCACTTTTAGGTTTTAAAGATTTTTTTAAAACAATATATTGAAAGTGTTTTAAAACAGTGTATTATCCTCTCTTCATTCAAAGGATGAAATGATCAGTGGTATGCCACAACAGTAGTTTTTCATTTTCCTTGCAACTTGCATTCAAACAGAGTTAACTTTGACTAGATCCCTCAGAGTGATTCCAAAACAATCACAACTGATGGGATTTTCGATAAGGAATGCCAGGCAGAAAATCCTTGCTTTACATAATGTCATTAAAAAAATGTAGAATGGCTATCCACCTTGAGCAGAATCACCCCTTCATTGGTGAAAAAGAGCCTCATTTGGTGGGGTGTTCATTTGGTAGCAACGGGACCATATCCATGAATTTCATAGTCCTTCATGAACCAGCAAAGAGCAGTTCCCACCGAAAGAGCCTCTATTGCCAGAAAAATTGCTCCCTCTCTTGGTCCCACTTGGGGCGGATACCTTAGGAAAGCTTGACTTTAAAGCGGAGAATGTCTCAAAATTACCACAATTGGCAAATATGTGGATTTACAATGTATATGCTTTCCATGTGGAGTTTACTTTGGATTGGATTGTTTGTTCTTTCTCTAATTTCAGTAAAACTATGCAGCTGATGATGATAAGGCATACATTAAACTACTTTCAATTGAGTTGTATCATAGAACTACCGCTGATACTATTTAAACCATTTCCTCTGGCCTATCCATCTTTGAAAGGGACAGGGGATAATGAGTCAAATCAATCACTGAACTGCCTGATTTTCTAATGTTGATGGTTGATTGGAGCTGTATCATTAATTGAGACCTTGCCCTTTTGCTCCATGATTTTCTGTTACTGCTTGTAAGAGGCTTTGAAACCCAACAAATCTGTATAATTCTTTAAAACTTTGAAGCTTATTTGGCACTGAAACCATAGTACAGGGACACGATTGTGGCCTCAGGTGAAGTTTCATTAATGGCCAGCAGTTCAGGGAATACATGTATCTATCACTTCTGCGATTATCCAGAACCTTCTACTTAAATTTGAAAAGAGATTAATCCAAGTGCATAGAGATTAATTCAAGTGCCATTGTCGGAAGAACAAAATTGTTTGTCAGCATATATGCAAAAGACCTGCCTTTTCGTGTATAAAATCTGCACGTGGTCTGACATCACATTGCAGTGAACTACCATCAACCAAAGATTACATTGTCTTTGGTTAATGGTGCTGTGTGGACTTTGCTTGAAACTTTAAATATGTTCTTGCCCATATGTAACGGTAATTTGTGTAAGTTTGGTCTGTAAGGATGTATTTCTTTTGGTTCTAAGTCACAATTTTTAAGTACACACTGTCATTAAGTCCTTAATACTGTTTATACGATATAGTATATTCATTGGCCCTGTGGTTTGTTTTTAATCTCTCTAGTTTTGATATTTTAGAATTCTGAGTATAGCCTGGCTTCCTGTGCATTGCTTTTTTTTGTAAATATGTGTCATACTTAATTCGAACATGACTTAATCTGTGTGAACATTCCAGCTCTTGTGTACAAAAGATGTGTTTGATTGGTCTTCATTAAATAAATACTACGACACATATCTAGACTGACTAGGAAATATTTTTGTCCCTATGTTGTTTTAGCTTTGGTTACTCCATACGTTTATGATACTCGTGCTCATAGGAATTGTACTCAACCACAACAGTTTTAATGTCTGCTGTTATACAATAATCATGTGCAGTTTTAGAATTATTTTGTTTAGCGGGAGACGTTTAATTTAGTGTTTGGGTATACTTAGAAGGTAGCAGCCGCTCAACCGCTTCACTATGATTGAGTGAAAGAATAACCAAGTAAAGTGTAGGTACAAAATAATATCGTGCATTGTGAATCGTGTAAAATCACCCGAAAAAGATTAATGTCGGACAAGGGTGGAGGGGGGCAACAGGGCCATACCACCGCCCCAAATGAAGCAAAATTTTGGAAGAGAGGAGCGAAGTTTTCGGCCTGTTTCATTTCTCTTTCTTCAGAAAGTGTCTAAAAAGCCCCTTAAGTAAAGCTTACCCCACAGGAAAGCCATAAGACATGGTTTGAAACTATTCTCAAAATTTTTAACCCCCTAAAAATAAGTTCCCCGTCGAAAATATGGTCTTAGATCCGTCCATGTATGTCGTATGTCGTAAACGCTTAAAGGTGACGTGTGTCGCTCTTTGCGCTCTTGCAAGCAAGCTCGTTTGTATTAGCTGTGACGTGATTGGTTGAAACTGGTGAAGGTGGAACTTCCTGAACTTTCTTCTTATGTCGAAAGATTTATCGTCTGCCCAGAGAGGAAGTGATATTGTGCGTAAACATAACGTGCTTTCGCTCGCACTGCACCCTTGGACTGCACAATCCCCTCTTGTTGACGGAAGCTCAATGCCGACACGGAAACCCGGCAATGTTAAGCCAGTTTTACCCGTACCACTCAAAGTTACAATGAGAGCAGAGACTCTGACACTGTTTGTGCTTTGTCTGGTGTCTTCTGGGGATATTTTGGACAGTATACTGGATGCTGCCTGGGGAGTTTTTCGTCCGGACAGTCATGTAGGCCGGGAGGTCGTCATCAACTCGTGGCGTCTGGAGTTGGGCACCGAGCTCAGTGCACTCGGGCCAGGGAGCAATGACGATCTGACGGGTAGGGGCTTCCGGCGAGGCCCGCTGTTTGCGGATGCCGCGGAATTGGCTGAACCACTACCATCAGGTACATTAATCTCCTAGTCCTTAATATGCAGCGTATCTTAGACATGGTAGACCAAACGTAGCAAAGAATTCCATATAAGTCTACGGACGCCACTCATTTTTTCCTGCAGTGGTTTAGTATTAGCCATCTGAAAGCAATAAAATGTCATAAAAAGTCAAATTTAACAGTGAAAATACTGCAAATGTTGAAGTATTCACTTAGAAAAACAACCATCAGACCAGTCTCATAGAGTTTGTACATTGGGTGTCAAGCAGCATCTGTATATGCCGTATATATATGGATTTTTTTTTCCTAATTGAAAACTAGTCCATGGAATTGTGTATTATCAAAGTTGTAACTCTAACCTTACATAGTCATGATAGCCAGATACTAAAAATCACTACTTAGTAGTAAAATGTAGCATACAGGTACAGCGCTGTCACTATAAGTGACAGCGCTGTACAGTACTTGTGTTTTATTTTATAGGAGGACATGACCTTCTTGTTCTCAAAGCCATAAAATACATGTAGATAAGACAATGTACCATACTGTGCTGTGGCACTATAAATACATACATGACTTTACTGTTTTCTCTACGAGTAACAATGAAAGTGCCTGAGTCAAAACATGGTCAGAAGTAGTCATTTGTATGGGTAGGTCCTTCAGGCTCAGACCACTACTACATAGTATTTTGTAGTGCTACTGAGTCCTGTAAGTCAAATGATACGCTTGGGGGGTTAGGGTTAATAAAGATTGGGTATGTTGTTTTATGTCAAAAATATTTTTAAAATGTCAGCATATTGACTTTATTCATAGTCCAGCTTGTGTAGTTTTTAATTTTCAGTTTGTGTTGCTTTTCGGTATCTTAAGACTAGTAAGACTTGGCATACATGTAGGTTTCTTTGTTGTTTTCCTTTTTGTCTTCCCCACCAACGTTTTTGACTCACGCATGTAATTTGCTGTATTGGCTGTATCTGTAATACTTTCAACCTATGATGCCACAGTTGCAATCCTCTAAGAGATATTCTTGGCTGCCTTCACCTGTCCATTTCTTTTCCTTGAGAATTTTCACCAGGTACCAATGGACATGTGTCCTTAATATGCCACAGGGGCCTAATTAGTGTCACTAGGCTCATGGTACATGCATGTACATTATAATTTTCACTTCAGGGTCAACAATCTGTTATACGTGTATGCTTTTCAAAATTATGGAGGGTACTAACAAAATTGAAGAAAACGTTTCGCAAAGTTTAAACTTTGGAATGCACTTGTGTCAGAGCCCATTTACTTTCACCCATGCAGTAATGGAATTTCATGCTGTCAAAAATATCGAACACATGGTTTTCTATTAACAGTCAGCAGACGAACCATGCGGTTGCTCAATAAACAACTGCATTATAAGAGCAGATTTTCCCCAGATACCATGCTGAGGCTATAAGTGTTCTGGCCAATCCAGTTCTTGTTGGGTATGAAGTCACTCTTTGGCTGCTTCATTATTGTTGTGGAATATCATGAATATGTGCCAACCTGTTGTATGCTCCAGTGTATATGTAAAATATCACACAGCAGTACTACTTTCTGTTACCACTTTCTGGTACCACGCAGGTGTGTAACGGGCCTTAACAATATTTCACCTGTAAGAGTTGGTCTGTATTGACACATCCTACACTATAGAATAACGAGATAAATACATGTACTTCACGCGTATAATTATGTGTGCAAAAGGCATTAGCTCGCAAACCAGCATGTGAACCAACACCCACACTAGAGTTCCTGGTTCAAGCGATAAAATATACATCTTTTTACGGAACTCAGTGAAAGTTCCTGTCTTTACACTTTTTTACAGCAATTAAATCCCCAGTTAAATACAAGAAAAAGCAAAAAGACAAGGTATCCACCATCAGTAGGAGGGGGTTTTATACCAACTACATGTATGTCCCCCCTCTTGATCTGCTACTTGTACAAAAATGACACGGTGTTTTAATGTTAGTTTGTTACCTTGATTATTCAAATACTATTTCAATTCGAAGTGTAAACTGGAGTTGTGAGGAAAAAATTTGTTCACTATGCACATTTGGACATCATTGAACGTTGCATTGAAGCAGGTAGCTAACAGCTGTTATTGTGACTGGTTGGTGATTTCTCAGAAAGCAGTGACTGATGTAGTGAATGAGGACAGTCACTTCACGTGTGATTTCCATCTGTCAACATGCATCAATTAAATATGGTTTTACCAAACCAAGGAGGACTGAACTCCAGGTTATCTGTGGTCATTTAATGTTGGAGAGGTACAACTTTATTAAATCATGCAAACATTGTTGTTCCCAACTTTCAAAGCCTTGAAACAACATATGTGGTCTCAAATACCACAGTAACAGATATATGTACATGTATTTCAAGATCAAGTTGTTTCACAAAACAGGACATGCCCTATTCGTAAGTGGTGAAACAGCAGTAAAATTTTGCCAATAATCATCTCCGGCCAGGCAATATGCCAAGGATATGGTTACCCCCCATGACTACCTGGTGAACCACAAATTTGTACAAGTACACTATATTGGGACTTGTTTCCATACAGGCAGAAAAGGCATGAAAAAGAACTAAGGATTCTTAGTGGTGAAGGTAATGGAACAAAATTCAGAACTCTTTAACATGATCTTTGGATCAGTTGCCCATCATGATGCTTCCAAATGTCACTTTAAGTCGGACACTGTGTAATTCATGAATATTACAAGCCACCTTCTTTCCCTTTTCCCTAATACATGTAGTTTGGCAAGGCCACTGCACTCTCACCCAAAAATTGATAAACTTGATTGATCTGACCTTGGCTTACGGTATGTGTAAAAGCTACTGAAACGATCCTGCTTTGGCGTCATGGTGGAAGACCAACATATTATTTTGGCATTGAGAACTACAACTTCAGAAATGTGCTTACATATACTGCACACCTGTTTTTGTGCCCTCAGCTGTAACCTACACGTACGTGTGCATACCAGGGCGAATATACGGGTACATTGTAAAGATAAATTTGTTAAGAATTTAGAAACTTCTGGAATCAGCATGAGCTTACATGCATGCATCCTCAATTATTTGATTATTTTTACTTTACCAGTATCTGTAATATTTTCAATTGGGCTAACCATTACTTTAGTGAATTTCTTTTGTACAGCTATGTAGCCCAACTTACATCGTAAAGCTACAAAGTCGACGCTGAATTGGTTTTTTAATTATCAACTGGATCGTTATCTCAATTACTAAAATGAAAAGTTGTTTTACTGTTCATGGGTTTGCCAGTATTAACAGAAGCTGTGGAGAAACATGGAACCTTGCCTGATTCATCTTAATGCTGCAATATTCAATAAGGTTTGGAGTAATGAGACAGTTACAGTAAAGTTGAAAGACTTCCTTTTATGAAGGACTTTATCATACCCATAAGTGTAAGCACAGAGCTGGCTTGAATACCACACAATATAGAATAGCACTCAGCACTATGAATCTGAAATACAAATATGTCCTGTGATAAATTTGCAATTTATTACAGTTTGTGACCCCAGTGCATTGTGGTTCAATCCATTTGTTTTCTGGTTGAACCCAAGTCCAAAATGATCAAGAAAAAATACCTAACCTCAAAGTCACGAAAGACACCCCCAATAAAACTGTACCTTTCCCTCAAGATTGCCACAAGATGTTCTGGGCTTTTAAGGTGACAGCAGGTTCAACTTGTTTCCCATCCAAAGACTGTGAAACATTCAGCAGCTCCAAGAGGGTATCAGGGTGTAGAGCCCATAGCATTACATGTGTTTGGTGTTAGATGTTTTGAAACAATAATATTCTGAGCCCTGTGGGAAGGTGGCCATGCAGTGTAGAAGCCCGTGAAAAAGTGTACCCGAGGGCCTTGGTAAATTTGAGCAGGGACATTTTACAGCTGTTGTGAACATTGGTCCCTGACCCAGTACCTCTCTGGCAACCAGATGGAGTGAAAAGATGGAGCTACATGATCTGAGAATGGAGAAACACATTACAGCCACGTTGTGATCATCCCACAGCATGAAGTCTGCAAGTTCATGGGTATTTATAGTCCAATGTATGGAATATTTGATAAGTTTTTGACACCTTGTGCCTTCTGCACAAGGTGTCAAAAGAAAGCTTTGTTTTTTCAGTAGGTTTCATTCAGTTCAATGGAAAAAAATAATTGAATAATCAGCTCATCAATCCATCAGTCTGTTCAGTATTCTGATCAGTACTTGTGGACCTACTCAGCATTCAATATTCTGTCAGTCCTACCAAATCACAAAGACTCCTTTGGACTGCTGATTATGTGACTCAGAGCCACTGGACTTTTTTAACATAATGCCAGATCCATTGAGGTTTTCATAAAACTGCCAGAATGCTTTGAATTTAAAATTTTGCCTCTGTAAATAACTTTTTGTACTAATGCTTCTTTAGCACAAGCCTGTAAACAAATGCATCAGCATTTCCAGATAGTAATTTTAATAAAATTCTTTAACAAGCATATGGTTTAAAAGCTATTTTTAACTTCATGCACACGTACATGTATGTACAAGTGATGTACTGTCCATGATACTTCTATCAAACTCCATAGTGCACTAGGGTATCATATTTTTTCAAAGTTAACTTTCACACTTTGGCAGTTTTTTTCTTTCAGACATGATTTTCGTCAAGCCTCCCCCTCAAAAGGGTTTCTGCTGAGTACTGAAGTGATGTAACAAACACTCCAGACTTTGATTCAAAGAAATGGAAAGAGCCAATTAAGTACCATGAATGCATTGCAGACGACTGCGGTAACCCTTACTACACGCTTAATGTGCTGGCTAGTTGTGCCTGGAGTGCATGGTTACTCCCTCTGGATCTGCTTATGTCAGCATTTTACATTGACATTGATCCAAATACCACAGAAATATCTAGACCTTCCGAGACCAGGCATGCATGATGTTCATGATTACAAATCCTACCCTTTTCAAATGAAATTCAAAACATCTCTCCTGTGCAAAGCCTTGAAG